GTTTACACCGGTTTTCAGTTACGAATCAGCCGGCTCGATTGTAATGATACGACATTACTGCCATTGAGCCAGCCAATTCTTGTCGAAACATGACTCTCCCACATTTAAAAGTTGACTATTAAAGTTACCATGCAAGCTGTTCTAGACAAAACAGTAACGACATTCTTAATTAAAGAACTAGCGAATTTTATCAAGGTAGTTTTGTTTGAAATGCACTCTCCACAAAATATACATAGTTACGTCACAAACTTCTATTATCGCTATATAACAATAATGAATACTGTATAGCCGATAAACTTGTAAAGCGGATCCAGATAAAGACAATACTTATATTAATAACCGAATGACGCAATTACATACAAATACATGACGTATACAGGTATACATTTACGATAGGAATATAAAAAAATAATTTCCTATGTTGTATATTCTACAAAAGATATGTGGGTAGGCAGCGCCCATATGGACTTATCGTGTCAGATGGTGCAGGTGCTTTTACACTGTGCATTTTAGTATATTTATAAGAAAAAGTTGTTATATCATGTCAGAGGGCACTAACATGGGTATGTTTGTGCCACGTGCCGCTTTGAGAATATTGAGGGAAACCAACAACAGGGTATGGCTAATAATTGGGATATTAAAACACTTTACCGACATCGTAACAAGTTATAAACGTGACAATTATCCACGAGGCTGCCTAGGGTATTATAACGAGACCTGAAAAACGCTGTTTGTGTAAACTTCGAAAGATTTTTACGCAACATCGTAGTCGCCATACTTGCAATGTTTGTTCGGCTTCCCAAACCACCTAAAGGTAGATCTTGCAATACATTTCGACTAGTGCATCGACTGTAAGGCGCCAGGCGGCCATCGACCTCTTGTTTGTGACGACTTCCGTTCCCAAACCTGACGATGCACTTCGAATGCACCGAATTTCGCCCGATTCAACCCCTTCTCCCGACCTACCCCAGGGAGCTGAGGAGTTCCCCCTAGGAGGTACGATCTATAATGGTTACGAAATCAAACTATACACATATAGGAATCCATATAATCGATTGGTGCTGTACCGATATAGAAACAAACTAGAGTAAATGAACCTTTGAACTATTGATATGTCACCTAAAATAACTATCAGGGACAAGCAAGATCATTATAAGTGTGGGTGGGAACACAACCACATGGATGTGTTTGCTTTGAACTCTGTAACATTTTACATAATAAGTAATCTAGATGGACCAAAAAAATACTCACAGTTCTTCATGTTGGAATTTTAATATCTAACCCCGTCTATTTTTCATTCCCCTTTCTATATGCATAAACTATTTTGAACCCATTTGTAGGTACTTATAACTTGAAATGGAAGCTTTCTTTTGAGAGACGTGAAGTTCTTGAGATTTCAACATAAGTAGCGATACAGATGTATACCATGTTTAAGTGACACGTGTTGTTAGTAATCCTATAACCTACAGGTACAGATGAAGTTCATACCGACCACTGGGATTCAACAGATTCGAGAACATCAATTTATTCCAAGCTGTTTTATAACTAAGTTATATTTTCCACGTGTAGGTATTAGGCAAGTGTATAGTAGGGAGAGAGTATCCACCTACTCTATTGTTGCTTATTTAATACGCTTTAGGGATTGTTCCCAGAATCTTTTTTAATATTAATACATTTTATACGTGTAAATAGGTTATCACATTTAATTTTCAACTTAATTACAAACTAATAAAATTGGAAATCTATTTATTAAACACAGCTACTTTGGCCTGTCTTAGTGTATCTTTGCGATCGTTGGCCGTTTAAAGTATATCCTTAACCTTAAAAATTACAATATTTTTTTATATATCCCATTTTCCTTCAACTTTCACCTAATTCTTAGAAGTGTAATGAATATAAAGTAAAGTAAAAGTGATCTTATTTCTAAATAACTCAGATAAAAATGGCCGCTGTTAACGCAAGAATATTCATCACATTTTCGAGTCTTACAACTCTTACATTACGCCTACACACTAAGGTACATTCACATATGTATTTATTCCATTTATCCATTTAGAAAATGTTGAAAGATTTTCTTTTTTGAGGAAAGCATCTCAATATATATGATATGTTAAACTACCTACATACCACTTAAACCTTACCTACGTACGACCTACATACTACTTAAAAATAGAGGTGTTAAGTTCTATTTTCGCATGTTATGTTTTTGCAAATTATTTTATCAAATCAACAACAATTTAGGTTGACAGTGACAGAGGAAATATTTTGTTCAATTAATGTTAAAAAATTGCAAGGTTCTTGATCCTAATATTCATATAATACACGAATAATTTCTAAAGCAAATCTCCTACGGCGTAGGTTGTACATCGTTAGCCGCAGCCTACGCGTAGATATCTCGCTTTACCCTCATTAAAAATTAAGTATTCTTTTAGAATTTCCCCTAAATGCCTAGAAACATAGATGAGCAGGTGATTGTCCGCAGTCCGTCCGATATTTTAGTAAATGTGTTGACCTTTGTGACTCCATGTCTCCGACCACCAATTACATTGCTTTCACAAAAAAACTAATCTCTTCCCAAAATAAAAACATTATTAAGGCTGTAACTTGAAATGTTTTTTCCTCAAACAAAAGTCCTTTTACATCAAAGTATTTCTAATGTGATCGTCCTTATAGAAAACATCTTTTTTTCGATTTATTTTTAGAAATAGAAGCTATTTTCCAAGGACCAGTCGTCTGAGGCGCCGTGTCAAATTGATGAAGACTCAAATGTTCCATTCAAATAACGTATTTATAAATTAGACTTGGTTTTCGTTTTCTGCTATGAAAACTTTTCTAAATGCCAAAACACCCACTTTTATGCAGAAATAACAAAAAAAAACAAATTTGACCTTTCTGCAAACTCCTTACAAAAATATTAATTGTTATTATTATAATTATGTAGATACCTAAGTAATTATAATAAAACAAAACACATTTTAATCATGTAAGGAAAATGGAGCAATTAACACAATTATGATATCTTATAAATCTTGTAAGAATTAGCTATTAAATTACTCATGTATTTTTTTAATTAACTTTCTTGGGCATAACTCTGATTAGATTTTCATTATTAATTGAAATAAATTGTTTAATGCTTTTTCTGACTTTGTACAAACCCTGTTAGGACCAACCTTGAATATTTAAAAAGAAAATTAAAAAAACATCCGATACGGATGAGGTTTTATCTAACGACCTCGGTTCGGCTGTACCCGGACCCACAGCCTCGGGGGCGGTTCACTCGCTTCCATGAGTTCAAACCTAGCCGAAATGTTTTCTTTTTCATAAATCTACTTTATTAAAATATTCATAAAATGGGATTTTATTTTTATTATTAAAAAAGCAGATTTAAAGAAATATTAATTTATAAGAAAAAAATTAATACAAAATATTATTTTTTTGTTTAAAATATGCGAGAAACGTCCATGCAAATACCTAACGTAACCGAAAAGCAGGAGCATTCTAAATGTAGTTAGACATTCCGCCCCCAGACGCGGGCAAAGTTGACGCAGCCTGTATGTTACGTTCAGTGCCTCCCTCATGACGTACCTACGATCATTACTTCCTACACGAGTCCTCAGAAGAACACTCAACCCCGGAGTATGGCTATTACTGAAGCTCTTCGGTTTAATTGTCTCGCCTCGCCTCGCCTGCGTCACACAGGAATGCGAGGCCAGCAAATTATAGTCCTGACATTTCACAGAATAGTTAACATTTATTTTCGTTTCAGTTCTATTATAGTAAAATAGAAATCCATTGAAATATTATTTTTAATAATATCCTTTAGTGACAGGAAGAGATACAGGATGTTGATTAGATGGAACATCAATTTTTGCTGAGTAATCTTATTGAAGTCTCTTGGATAATAATCAGACATAATTCGGACAAATTAATTTGTCGACCCTATACCATTAAGTCAACTTAGTCAAAGACTCGAGTTCGGCAGTCACACCTACGACAACGACTGCCATCGAGGATGACCCAGGGCTCATTCGTCCTTCATTGTCTGTTTGTTTGTTCTACACAAAGTCAACAACCACTGAACAGATTATTATGTGATTTTATCCAGTCAATGTCATTATTATTGCCCAAATTTAGCACACACACATGCTGAATTCGGGCGGAAATATCTTATGATTTCCAAAATAATGCATCTGAGAAAACCATGTCTCTGTATTGTCCATAAAATGGTAAAAAATAATTCTTGCTTAGCCTGGTGATTGAAACCGAGTTATAAGGTAAGGTCTTAGTAGAAGCTCGATTACATTTAAATACTTTTGGTACATTGTTTTATTTCTGAAAAGTAGTAATACTGTGTAACTATCTCAACTCGAACTGGAGCGTTAACTTTAACGAACACAATTTTCTAATTCCTCGTAAACACGAAACGAAGTTAACAATTGTGTTCTAAAGCTCAAAGTCGTTAAGCAAAATGTGCTGATAAACTAGTACCTACATTATGTTACCTAACCGATTCTGCATCCCTCTTCGCCGATCCAGATTCTGTTCTAAATTTAACCCTTAAATATAAGTATGAAGTTAGTAGCTACATGCGGTCGGCTTCATAACTATGACTGTACCACAATACGAGAATATTGTGCGCCCCTCCGCACGGCATGTATCTGCCTCCCTTCTATACCAGTATCCCTGTTGACATATGCATACCTCAATCGATAACCTAAACTGTGAGTAAGCATTATGAAATAACTGCCCGTCAGTTGTCGTCGAAATTTCTCTAGGAGTAAAAACAGTGTCATAGCAAGATGAATAATCTGTGGGCGCGATCGATAGCAGAATGCCGCGGGTTGAGGGTAACTAGGAGGGGGCGCACGTCGGGCTGGCCTGGGGTGGAGGAGCTCGGGGGTCGGCCAGGGGGCTACAGGGGGCGCTGTTTCATTGAGAACGTGTGGGCGGCGCGCGTGGGCGACCTGCTTATAAAGCACGCCGGCCCTCCCCTCCTACTCGTAGTCGTGTTCTGATCGCGCCTAGACCAACATCTATTTGTGAATTATGTGCAACATGCAGCTTTCGAGCTTAAGGTAAGCTTTATGATATACATTTAATATTATTCCTAACTCATAAATTAATTGTAAAATATTTTGTAAATATTAAATATTTTGTGAATATAAATTAAGCAATTTTTCTATTATCTTGCATTAATTGAAAAAAGTTATCATAATTATATATTGTTAAATACAAAGCCTTTTAAATTATCAGACTAATATTCCATCTCGTCAAATAATAACAGAGCGAATTTTGTTTTAGGCTATTATCAGTCTTACTTGGCTACTTAGTAGCTCAAGCAAAGGCTTACCCCATGCAGGGATGGCCTATGTACCCGCAAACATCTAGGGAATACCCAGATGACGAATACTACTATGCTCCCAAAGTACAATACTTTTATGATGCTCCAGCGATTAGTGTCCCAGAAATGCACGCTCAAGTTCCATACCCTTATTTCTACGACCCGTACGGTCACTTTATTGCAAATGAAGCGCCGAAGAGACAGGAAGAGAGACTAGCAGCCTTGCCTATTGGACAGGAAACTTGGTTTGAGAGTGACACCACGCCCCGCTGGCAATCTAACGATGTTGATGACGTCAGTGCAGCTTTCCTCGATAATTTGATTCTTACGCAAATGGCACAAGACGCACAGAGACGGCGCGAGAATGCCCGCGCAGCCTTCCCGCCTGTTGATTATGACGAGCATGATGCCGAAGATGAAGACGTGCGAGAACTGAAGGCCTTGGCTGGGAAACCCTTGTACCATGTGCCTAAGACAGTGCCGAGGATTGACGAAGACGACTATGCATCAGATGATGGGTTCATCAACTGGAACGGAAACAAAAGAAGCGTAACAACAGCAGCTCCACAGGTCACCACTGAGGCCGCCAAAGCTGGTGACAAGGAATTCGTGAGGCCACAGCCTGCAGCCAACCCCTTCAGTCGTGGACATCAAAACAGCCAGAACAAAAGAAGCAATGCCTTCTACGATACGATTGTACAGTACTTCGCGGACAAGAAAACAAACAAGAAGTTACAAGTAAGTTATGCTAATTAATATTATACTAATTCTATTTTTCAGAAAAAATTAGGTCGCAACATCAATTCAAAATAATCACCCTTCATTTAATTCTAAATTCATATTTCATTGTTTGGGTACATACTAAGACTATGAAAGCTCCGAAGTCTAAAAATAGCATGGCCGGGCCGGGGGTGGCGGCCTGGCGGGTGATACAGTGGGCCCCGAGGCCGGGTCAATCGGCGCCGGGGGGGAACCACTACAAGCACTAATATCACCTCGTACATCACATTAAGCAAATCCACTCAGAAAGTCCAGGACTACAGAAGAACAAAGACTCCGAATTAACATAGTGTTATATTGTCAACAGGATACAGCGAAAGAACGAAGAATCGAAAAACGTTTTATTGCCGACGACTCGGATCTGGTTGGAGAACTTCGAGGCCTAAAACACCGCATCGCCACTTAAACAAATACTTCGGAATTATCGCCAACAAAATATGAGACTGAGTAATAAGTAGATTAAATAGTTACGCAGCGGCGACATCATAGAACGTTCGCGATAGGAGGCAAACAAAATAACAAAAAAATGTTAACATTTGTCACGAGCATAATAATGTATACTTTACATAAAGTTTTGTCGTCCACTTTGACTAATATGTTAAGTAATTACGTGTCAATGATATAAAACAAAAAGTTTAGAAGATCCTTTTCTATCTGTATGGTCACTTCTTCCGTTACAGAAGTAGTCTTAGCTATGTTAAGTGTGGGTAGGTACGGGTGTAAATGATGGTACAAACTGTGACTATAATCTCCATTAGAACAAATGAGTCGTTGACTGAACTATGCATGATGCTATAAGTTAAAGTTGCTCCTTCAATTGGCAGCTACTATGTCGCACACGAGTGCAATTTGTAAATATGTGTAGGTACTGATCGTCTAAGACTTATAATTACATATTTAGATAGAAGTCAATACATCAAAAATCTGAATAAAAATCATTCGGAAACTATTTTTTAATTTTGTATAAAACTAATGCTGGACGTTGTTGTTTTGCTTCTTCGATTGCGAGCTACAGAAAAATTTGCGTGAGATTTCCTCTCTATTTTCTTTAAGATTAGGTAGACAGTAAATTGATAGAATTTAACTGACTTTTCTTCAATTTGTTTAAACAATTGTTATTGGCCTATCTGGTAAACATTGTATTTTCTCTGGGGTGCTAACTCATTATTTTAAGTTAAACTTACTATCGGTCTATGCAGACAATATTTACCACAAACCTAACTTTTTGCAAAGCAAAGACGTAACACATACTTAGTATATGAATTATATATATCTATTTATCTGTAAGGGTTAAGATTCTCTCGGGAAGCAGAGGATTACGTGATATTTTAGCTTTACTGCTTCTTACCTAACGTTATTTAATACGCATCTGGTCTATGAGACCGAGAAAAAAACACAAAAAAAATGAAAACCTTTGTTAACCCTTTTCTATTCGCTATTTTAAAATGAAAGTTCGCTTACGTTCATATTTCAACCCATTTTTGTGACCACATTTTCAAACATTCCAAGTTTGACATTAAGAAATCACCATTAATAAGATTTGATAAGTAATTGTATCTTTCAAAAGTACATATCTGTTTAAATTAACGTCAAATTACTTTCCTACGTTGAAATTACATGATCCTTATAATTAGTTGTAATGTAATATAATGTGACCTGTAAAGTATTACTAGTTGATGTTAAACATAATGAAAGTAAATATTGTAATATACAGTTAGGGTTCCGTACACTTGATTGTTACAATCTCAGCTATTACTTTTACAGTCTGCAAACTCCTATAACACGAAAGCCTAAGAAGTTATACGAAGTAGAATATAAAATATAATTTTGTATTGTAGTCAACATAAATATGTCCGAGCTGGTGTTTAGATCCCGTTTTGCAAAGTATTGCTCAGAATATTGTCTATCTGTAGATACATATTGCTATCTGTGTATTTGTATTTTGTATAGGCATTAATGTATTTTAATAGATAGGTATTTTTTTAATTATTGCCTACTTGTAACTGAAAATGAACCCATGGATACAAATCCGACCTTAGAGAGCTATGAAATTGTATCAGTATAAACGAGAATAAAATTAATAAAATCATTACGTGAATTGTACGAGCATCTTTAGTGCATTTTATTTTACCAATTAATTGCCTTCCCGAATCCCTAATTGTATTTGTTAATGCTACGAACGTGTTTGTGCCAAAACACAACAAGAATAAATAACTTTATACAGAATCAAAATAAAAAAAAATCAATTCATGCTTAAACCTGAATAAGAATCTTTTTCATTATTTACGAATGAATTACTAACTATAATCTACATATTAAATTCTCAATCACTGAATAAGTTAATGAACACATCGGAAAAGTTTATCAATTTATAAACATTCAAAAATATACTATACTACACTCAAAACAAAGCTACTTATGCATAAACGCAAAATCTGGGAATATAGAACAATATAGAGACATTTACGATATACATACATATTGATATTTCTATTCATATGCTTCTGATTATAGTTATTCTTATTTCAGCAACTTTTCTTTTCAAGTTTAACTCCTCTACACAAAATAATATTCTTTATTCTTTAATGAAGTTGATGATAACTGCTGCTTCGTAGGGGTGCAATACTCGAGAGATGATGTCCGGCCACCGTAAGCGTGGGTCTTAGGACGGCGCGTGAGGGTTGCTCGCCGCTCGACCAGATCCAGGCCCGAGCGGACGGCGCGTAGCGTTCCGCGCGTGCCTCAAAGAGCCAATTAATAGACCACCACAGACGGGGCCCTATAAGGCTGAAGTCAGCCGGGGTTGCGAGTGAAGCGCAATAAGTCACCGCGGCCTCGGCCCAGAGCAGAAGAAGGAACGGGGGGTTTTTAGTCAGTAAGAGTTTGATACTCTCTCTCGCCTTACCCTGGGCGGGAGAGGTCATTTGATGATATTCCCCTGACAAAAAAATGGGACACTAGTTAAATTTGTCCAATATTTAATTGATCTTATTATACATAAAAACCTGATGTTAGAACGGCAAACGAGCAGACGGATTACCTGGTGGTAGGCAATCAGCGCCGCTCATGGACACTCTATGGGTGCTTTGCCGATTAGGGATTTGAAGATTTAGAGATTGGGGAAGAGGAAGGATTGGGCCTCCGGTAACCTCACTCACATGCCGAATTACAACGTTGTGGTTGTTTCACACCGGTTTTCTGTTAGGCCGTGGTATCACCCCGGTTAAGTCGACCCATTCGTCACGCAGAATATACCTATCTCACACCCTTTCTCTTTAATAATTCTATTTATTAAAAAACCCGTATCAAAATCTATTAAGTAGTTTAAAGGGTTTATGCGTTCATCATGAGTAAGGGATAGAGTTAAAACGTTATATTTCTCTGAATTATTATACGAGGTTCATAGATGTGACTTCATAACTTTGTGTGAAATACAATACTTATTTCCCTTAAATTGATGAGTATTATATACTAAAACTAAGCTTATAATCAATCTAGCAATGAGAACATCAATATTTTTCGATTCTTTAATAGATTTATTAGGAGAAACGATTAATTTTAAGTCCCTCAACAGTCAGTCATAAATACAATAGGAGTATACAAAATGATTCGTTTACATAAAAAGTACAAAAAAAAATGATTCATTTTGATAATTCGAAAATATTTAGACATGCAAACGTATTTAGCTACATATTTACTTTAAATACGTACCTAGCGCCTATTTCACCACCGTTTTTTAAGTATCCCAATAAACTTTTGCAGGACATATCGTACAAATTACGTTATATTCTACATCTATCTTAATCTTTTTATGCTTTCGTTTCCCTTCACGAGATCAGAGAATCCTGGACCTTTGGAAGGCGTACGAGGGACGGAAGCCGACTCGCAGAGGCCCGTTGAACAACTTTAATTTAAGTAAAATGGGACATCAGCCGGCAATTATCTCTGTTTGCACTATGAAAGTGCACCCAAGGATAATCCCCGGTTGATGCAGGACTTTTGCGAAATGTGGTAATAATTGAAAGGGTTATGGGTATGGGTTGCTATGGACTGGTGGATATGGTAACTATGGAAATACTATGGCCCCTGCCCCTGACCAATATTGAAACATACGGATAAACAGGCAGAGGGTGACTGGCAAACTCAATTAATGCGCCCCCGGAAACGGCCGCTAGCAAGTAGTGACAAGGAGGCAAAATACGTTGAGCTGCTTGGGGAAAGAGAGGCATCCCATGGCTATCAGAGCAATCGCGGAAGTACGATCAAGACCCCTACCAGCACCTTACTGAGATACATCCTTCCCCCGAGTCTCCTTAAACTCCTACTATTGCGAATCTCCACTCAAGCCAGCCAATTAAGGCAAGAATGAGGTAGGAGGGCTTGTTCTTCATCAGTTTTCACTCCAGCTCGTCACGAGGACTAACTGGAGATGAAGAACAAGACACCTCCCGGGAGTCAAGTCCTTAGGCTCGCCATTGCTCAACAGCTCGCCACAAGCTGCCTTGCGGATATCTTTTTATTACTGTTATTATATTATTATTCTATTATATATTATATTCTATCTTGTATTATTCTATTTTAAATTAGAGTGGTTATTCAAAATTTGTAAAACAGGCTCTTATTCAAGCGAAAATAAAAAATAATATAGGTACTAAATAGGATATTCAAAATAAAAAGAAGAAATGGAATATATTATTTTTAAAGAAAATATATGTGTATGTACCTTTATTTTTAACTAGCTTCCGCTCACGGTTTCGCCTGCGTGGTATGTTGCTTATGTGTTAATCCAGTGTATCACCTATCTGTTTACTTGGGGCAAGCGCAACGAGGCACCGCCGCTTCGGCCCAGAGCAACAGAAGGAACGGGGAGGGTTTTAGTCAGTAAGAGTCTGACACTTCGTCTTGCCCCACCCTGGGCGGACTAAGTCATTTAATAATTTCCCTAACAAAAAACAGGATATCACCTATCTACATACCAGTTTTCAATGAAATCGGTCCAACCATTTTTGCGTGAAAAATTACAAACATCATCATCAGCCCATAAGTGTCCACTGCTGAGCAAAGGCCCCTTCTCACACGAAGAAGGTTTGAGCATTAATCACCACGCTTTTTCAATGCAGTGATTAATGCTCTTTCAAATAAATAACAACCATACATCCATATATTCTCACAAACTTTCACATTCATAATGTTAGTAAAATTCATTTCATTTATTTATTAAGAATATAATATAATATTTATACCTACCCAAATCAATAAATGTTAAATAAATAGTGTAATTTCGAACTCTTTAAATCCGTGTACTTATAGTAAAACATTCCTAAGTAATACTAATGACAAGATTGGTTCAGTGTTGTATTACTTTTGAATTTGGAATTAAATCTACGAAACTTTACCCTTAACAACCGTATTCACGAGGGAAGTCAAGGAATCCTTTTGAAGTAACCCAATCGAGTTTCCAAGGAGGATGTAAACAGATACACCATCACCCTAACCCAAGATAAAGTCAGCGAAACTTCTAGTCCCGTGTATACACGACACGTATTGATTCAAGTAAGTACTTAGATATGTACGTATATAGCGAATAAAGCAAGAATATTATAAAATAAAACATATATACATACAAAGAACATACCGAAACTTAGTAATGAAATAGACCTTTTTTTTTCTTAAATAATATTTTTTTCTACAAAGATAAACTGAGAAAATTAGAAACAGAGTAATACTTACCCTGCCACCAAACCCACGCGTTTACCTTTGACCTTTTCCCATAACGCCCACGAGCCTCCTTTATTTTCATACTGCGGAATTTCTTGACTAAATTGAATAACCGACGAACGTCACTCCAAAGGCTTCGTTACTGTCTTCTAGGAAGTAGTTTTAAGGTCTTTGTAGCAATAATTAAAACATAATTATGAATTAACAGTACTTACACCTTAATTTGTTAACCTTATTAAGAGAGCTTGAGATAAAGAAATGACAACAGTTAATATTTTTTGAATAGTAACTATCGTGGGACATCTCGCGTCTATTAACTGAGAAAAGTTCTACCAGTTTCAAGTCACAACGGGACTCTTATTCATAACAAGCGCGCGCGAGTCGCTTTGACGCTTTTCCTTAAATATTTCACTTGTAAGTCTATTAAATAAACTATACTATAGTTGTCGTAGTGATATAATGTACTTACTCTTATTTCGTAAATCGTTTTTCATGAAAAAAAACTTGTACAAGTGTACACACCTATTTATTTCTATATAGCTATTTGTTACTGTTCGTACAATTTGTATAATATTTGAATATTTTATGAAAAGCCCACGACCACTCACAAAAAGGATCGCTAGCTAATTAAAACGTACAATTTTCTTTATAGCTTTTTACTGACATAAAATCGCTCCAATCAGAGAATTGGCAGAGAATACCTACACTTCTTTTTATTCATTTTTAAATCTTATATATATTATACAAAGTACAAACAAAGATTTTAATAATCCATTATAATAGCGGAAATTATTTTCTAACATAAGCCAACACAATCTCAGACCCAGTACTGTTATAAATAAACCTTAAAAGTGTTTTCTTATGAAGATACTGATACATGAACGAATAACCACATATGAAGCAATCGTACTCCCGCAATACCGAACAGTTACAATTTCTTTGCAGACCTGCAGTGAACAGCTATTAGCAGCGGTAATACCTCTTAGAGGATTGGCTTGAGAGACGTCATGGCGTCTTCACCTTCCGCCTAACGCAGGTGCTTACCCGGCACGGCAGCTTCGATAGGTTTCTGTTTCAAATCAGGTGGGTCACAACGCCCGTCTCCGTGGGAAGCAGTCCGCACGCGCTTCAAAGAGCCAGCAGACCACTACAGATGGGGCCCAACAGGGCCGATGTTCAGCCGGGGTTGCGGGTCAAGCGTAAATAGATATTAGCCTGGAGAGGTGAAGAAACGGGGATTTTTAAACAACAAGAGTCTTTCAAATTCTTAGGCCATACCCTGGGCGAGACGAAAACATTTAATTTTTTCCCCCTTAAAAGAAGGCCTTCAATGAGGTAAGGTTTTTGCCTACGGTAAGCTCACCTACAGCTATACCTACGGTTCTTGACGCCGATTTCCTGTGGCGCTGTCGTAGAGAGCTCCAGCTAAGCCGCACTTCGACAATTTCAAAGATGAGACGTTTTCAACATCTTCTGAGCGACTGTCATCTACTAAAAATAATTGCACTCTACTCATGAAACCATCAGTTTGCGTTAATGCGTATCGAAAGCATTTTGTTATACCGTAAGCATCGTAACCCGCTACGGCGTAGCACCCGTAGCAGTATAATGCTTGCTTAGAAACATAGATAATTATATTTCTTGTTGCTTCTACATTACTCCGTTTGCCTACACATTAAAATATTTTAAGTTAGTTTCTGTAAAATAATCTCTTCTTTCAAGAGCTTAGCAGTTCAGCCGTTTTCTAGATAAAAGTAATGTAAATTCATCTTTCTTTTAAAATTTTGAAAGTCCTAGTTTCAAACATAAACCGTTTTTATTTCTTAAACCCTCTGTGGTTCGAAACTAGTAGAGCTTTTCTCAATATTTACACGTGAGTAACCCGCGATTTTTAGTTAATTTAGTATGTCTCACGATAGTTATTATAAAAATGTTTTTATTTCTTATTTATTTATGGTCAAACGCCTAATACTAATTTGTATATTTTTATTTTACGGGTCGAATTATCAATCCGGAGATAAATGTTTCTAATTAATATCTAATTCAGAAATTATTCCTTTTTATCTAGATACTGTAATCACTTAAAGTGTCAAGGGCACCGTGGCCTCGGCCCAGAGTAGGAATGGGGTGGATTTAAGTCAGTTAGTTAGACACGATCGAGATAATTTTCCCCCGTGTCAAAAAGACATCACCTTTATTTATAAGTGTGGGAAAACCATACATCCAGCCGTGATAGGTATAAACCTATTGTAGTATATTAGTGACGGTATGTCAGTATTCCGTGATAATCGTGTGTGGGGGTGTACTTATGAATAATTAACCAACTTGCGTGCGTTTCATTACACCTATCACGGCTTTGCAGAAAACCGGCGTGGAGCAACACTTAGGTACATTGTGTCTCGCTATCTGAGTGAGGTTATAGTTCCAATGGTAATTCATCAATCCTCAAATCCCCTATCCTTAAATCCCTAACCCACAAGAGGTTGGCAACTTGTACCTATACTCGGAATTTTAATTCCATTCCAGATTTGACAATTTCAGTGTTGCAACGTTATGACACGTAATAAATAGTGACGTTGCGAAATTATTCGATATGGAAATCGAATATTTCTGAATCGATTCCTCTCGTTTATAAATTTTCTCTCGTAAACTAAGTTTATCAGGAAATAAAATATTTCTGAACCGATCATTTAGTTTTGACAATTAATTAACGATCTGAGACTTTTCTTTTGTAATTGTGTGTGAAATTAATAAAAATGTGATCATGAAGGAATATGACATATAAAACAGACATTTTATAAATTGTCGCCGTCATCGCTATCGCTATCGCCGTTACTCTATGTACCACTTATTATGATTTGTGTCTTTGATATTTATTGTCAATTAACATATCTAGCTTACTCATTTTTTCCTCTTCTTTGAAAACATGGGATACACATTTAGACCATTCGGTAGCCGTAATTTTTTGAATGTCTTCCTGAATCTGATTCACTGATTGTTTATCAATTTTTGTGTTCATCACTACACTGTTATATGTGGTATCATTATTTCACAAAATGACAGTGGTCAATGTCAAATCAGGAATCGAATTAAAAGTCTGACTATAGTAACTGGTATTACGATTGTCCATGTGCGGCGCTGCTTGCTTAACACTAGGTAATCCGTCTGCTCGTTTGCACATTATACAGCTAAAGTAATCGTTTTGACTGAATGTGGGTAAATTATTCCAAATCAAAATAACTTCGAGCGATCCTACTATGATAAGGAAATTATGGCTAATTATTATGACTAGCATACTTTAAAGAAATTATAAGAATCTGTTTGGATAATATTTTATTCTGGTTAAGTTGCTAGTAACTTGTTAGTAGTTAGTTTATTGATCTTTGGGTAATACTCTGTACCAATTTATAAAAAATAATGAAGGTACTATATATTATTATTATTCTCGTCCCAAAGTTAACAATTTGCCGATTCAAAATTCTGTAAAAATATTGATGATAAATAATTAATTAATATGCTGGAAGGATAATAATTTGTTAAATAAACTTTAAGGGTTTTTGGATAGTGAAATTAAGGGCCCATTGTGCTGACGTACTAAGCTACTAAAAAGTTACAACTCTACATATACATATACATTGTAATTTGTAAGTATAACGTAGTTTTATATACCCAAACTAGCTTTTTCTCGCGACTTTGTTCATGTGGCATAGTGACTAACTTTTTGTTAAAAAACTATCCTATCTCCTTTCTTGAGTTCTAAACTATGTCTGTACCAAATTTCACACAAATAGGTTCAGTAGTTTCGTCGTGAAGAAAAGACAGACAGATAGAGTTACTTTCGCATTTATAATATTAGTTTGGTTATGGATATTAAGTACTAAAAACTACAACTAGAAGATCTCAGGTCCAAATCCTGGGCAGACTAAAATATAACGGCGTATTTAGCATCTTTCAATATCAGTATATGGATTTTTACATTTTACTTAATGACGTATGTAAATGGCGAAAAGTGGGTGTTATCTTTTAAATGTATTTATAGTCATTTTATGTGTTATAGAAAACAACGCTAAACCTCCGCTTTTAGATTTCTTTCCCTTCAAATTAATAAGTATGTAGAAACAAAAAAAAATCTTTAATACTTTAAGTTGTAAATATTTTTTAGGTTTTCTTCCTTGCTTATTATACTTATAAATATTAACATATTTTACTTATAACATAATTTAAATTTTTTAAAAACTTTTATTAAAAACTTTTCAAACCTCTGGATCTTATTTTAGGCTAAAAGCATAATAAATTATATTCTTTAAAACACTTGCTATTAAGTTACTTGCAACACACGAAACAAAACGTCAAAAGGATGACGTCAATGTCATTGCCAAAAGTAAAACGGGCACAGATGAGATCAAAACAAATCGTTTGAATATTTTGTTTATTTTTATTATTTAGGATCGAATGTATGTGAAAGTAATTAATCCGTCCATTTATAACAACTTCGGAATGAACTTAGTGAAGTTTCTTGCTATAGAATATTAACGGTTCAGTGTTTGAATGTATAAAACCGCTAATATTCCCGTTACTCGGTGTTCGTGATTTCATATCCACGTCAGAAGTGAATTGGTGGTAAAATGGGTCGTTCCAAAGGATATCAGGATTTAGATGACAGCCACATTAGGCCCCGGTCCCCGGGCCCGCCCATGCCTCCACCTCAAGAAATTGAAATGGCATCAGTCTCTGTTGTCCCTGATGGTACGATAACTTTCTTTGGCTTCTATCAAACAGTATGAAATGTTCGTAAAAGCCAAAGCGTGTGCTGACTGTTTTTTAGTACATCATTCATGATATTATGATTTAGTGAATAGAATTTAAAATTAGAAGTTTTTATCTTTACAGTTTAGAAACTAACATCAATCACTTGTCATGAAAAAAAATTTTTTATCTACTTAGTAGATCTCATTATGAAGCAATTAATTTAGAAATGTGTACAATTACTTTCAAATTATCATCATTTATTTCTTCTATGTATTTGTGATATTTACTGTCCATATACAGTACATTTATTTTAGGTTTTAGTTTCATATGCAAAAAGAATTAAACAAAATGGTTAATTAAATACTATATTAATTTCAGATGGGTTTCATTGTCAAGTACTAAGTACTACCTACACTTAGTAATATAAAAAGTAAATTATGGTAAAAGTTACGAACATAATAAATTAATTACTTTTAGTGATACATTGTCAAACTTTTAATTTGTTTTACTAACTTCATATTAGGATCCTGTAATCTTTTTATTTATTCATAGACATTGTGAAAACTTATTATTAAATAACATTGCACATTTCAGACACTTTCACCGTCACTCAGGCAGTGAATGCTCTAGGATTTGGCTGGTTTCAAGTTAAACTTTCTCTCTTCACTGGACTCTGCTGGATGGCAGACTCGATGGAAATGACTATATTGAGCATTCTATCACCAGCATTGCATTGTGAATGGAATATTAGCAAGTAAGTTTTCTTATCATAATATTTCTTAAATTATTACTAAGTAAGTGAAATTAAGAAAATGAAGCATGGACAGCTCCTCAGTATCAAAACTAGTTGCATAGGTGGTCTTTATCAAAGAAAATATTTTTAACAAATAAAGGATGCAGTTTCGATGCCTTTGACTGCATGGTGTGCAATGTGTCACGGGTTCGATTCCCGCACGGAATAACTCTTTTGTTGTTCTTGTTTGTGACCCACAAATTGTTGTTTCGGGTGTGGGTGTGATGTGTATGTGAAATTGTATGTTTGTTACCGCACCCACGACACAGAGAAAATCCTAAAAAAAAAAAGTGCCTGCACTTTTAAGAGGCTAAAGTAGCATTGTCTCAAAAAGTGGTAAATTTTTGAATATTTTTATTCTACTTCTTCAATAAAAATCATTTCCAAAAGGCACACTTTTAAGTTGGACAAGGCTTGGAAAACAATCTTCTTAAGATAGAAAAATCAATAGTGCAGAAGTATACCATGAACCTTAATGTAATACTTACTAAAAATATGCCTAAATAATTATGAGACAGGCAAAAAATTTTAGAAAAATGTATGCAGTAACAATTCATAACTATATGGAATATAAATCTCCAAAACAAAAATGATTCAGTTTGTAATTATGTATATAATTTATTTTTAAAGTTGGTAATATTACTATGATAAATTTTTCCCAACTCCAAAGCTAAATGAATGAATCTTGATTCCTTAAAATGATGTGCATTTAACCTACTAATAATGATAACATTCATTTTAGAATCAATACTGGTAGCTTACATAAAATACTTAAGTTAAAATTTATTTTCTATACAATTCTAGGTATCAACAAGCTTTAACCACTACAATAGTATTCATGGGAATGATGCTCAGTTCAACATTCTGGGGTAACATCAGTGACCGTTATGGAAGGAAGACAGTAAGTACATAGTTTACATAAGGTACAGAATCTGTTATGCCCCATCATACTGCTAATATGCCTATTGTAAAGCCTACAAAAAAAAAGACGATGGCTAGATCATGAAGGATAAAAAATAATCCAATCTTCAAAAGTAAGAACTCCCCGCTATCTCAACTGACAATTGTTCGTAATTCTTCGTAAAATAGAGTATGTGTATGTATACATCTGTTCTTATAAACAATTCAATAAGAATTTGCTTTAGAATTATTAAAAACTATTTATTGATACAACTGAGTCACGAGAATTAACTGAGAAAAGCTCGACTAGTTTCGAGTCGCAACGGAACTCTTATTCAGGAAAAGAGTGTGCGTCGCGGCGACCTCGCGCAACCAACCGATGCTTATTTGCAATAAGTTTAGTATGTCTCACGATAGTTACTATATAAAAATACTACGCTTGCGTGGTTTCACCCGATGCTTGGCTCTATTTGATCGTAGCGTTATGTTCTCTAGTCTATAGCACTCAAGAACATTGTAGCTTTCTATCAGTGAAAGAATTTTGGCAATCCGACCTTCCAAAGATACCCTACATACAAACTTACAAATTTTACCTCTTTATAATATTAATAGTAATATTATCAGTAATTTTCTTTATAATATTAGTGTAGATTTAACACCTTGTTAATAAAGTGGTATTTTTTTTAACTTTTTTATTTGCAGGCTCTAAGCATGTGTGGTGTACTTCTGTTCTATTATGGTCTGCTAAGTTCTATAGCCCCAAATTTCCTCTGGCTGTTATTTCTAAGAGGTCTTGTTGGGTTTGCTATAGGATGCGTGCCACAATCGTAAGTAAATTAATACAAAATAAGGTCTATAAGTGGCCTTAATGTGATTCGTACAAAGGTTAATATAATTTATTAATAATTATTTTCAGTGTCACATTATATGCTGAGTTTTTGCCGACGAAGCAGAGGGCTAAATGTGTTGTGCTTCTTGATGTAAGTAATTTTATTGCATTAAAAATAAAGCCTTATTAATAAGCAAATGATATACTGCTCTGTTTCATAAGACTAGTGATTGCCAAAGCCAAACGAATATTATAAATGCGAAAGTATTTTCTTCACGCCAAAACTACTGAACCGATTTCTGGGTTTGGTACAGACATACATAGTCTGGAACTCGAGAAAGGACATAGGATAGTTTTTATCTTTAACCACTACAATGCCAAAAATCTGCAGGAAGTCACTATTCCACGCGAACGGAGTCGCGGGCAAAAACTAGTCCTAATGTTTGGAATCAGAGTTTTACAGGCACTGATTTATGAACTCTTAAAAAGAATAGAATCATTTGTTAGGTATCAGTTTACTTTTATTCATTTTAGGTTGTTAATTTTGATTTAACTTTTATGTAATATATTTTGTTGCAAATATTGCAGTGTTTCTGGGCTCTCGGTGCGTGTTTAGAAGTCGCTTTGGCGCTGGTAGTGATGCCAACGCTAGGTGTTCATTGGCTCCTTGCTCTGTCAACTATACCGCTACTGTTCTTCGCTCTAATATGCCCTGTAAGTATAACTATTTAAGTCTCTTATTCTAAATTTTTTGTGCTTACACAAACAAGGCTTACTCTTCTAACGTACGCACTATTAATGCATTTTTTATGATAAGACGGCAAACGAGTATTAGAATTACCTGAAGGTAAGCAATCAGCGCCACCCATTGACACCTGCAACAGCGGAGGAGTTACGAGGGCATTGTCGACCTTTGGGGATTAGGGTTTTGGTGATTTAGGGTCGTTTGGGCCTCCGGTAACTACACACTCACATGGCGAAACACAACGCTGTGGTTGTTTCATGTCGTTTATCTGTGAGGTCGTGATAACACTCCGGCAAGCTTGGCTCTCCTTCATTTAATTGTGGTTAAACCAGTAATAAATATTTCTGCAGGCCATTTTCCGCGTGGAATAGTCCATAAGTTACAATAATTTACTAATTAATAGGTGGGTGCAGTGGCTTGATGGCCGACCGCCACTTTGCTACGAGTTTACAGTGATCACTTCAGTCTGCCTACAGGTAGTCTATTTGTATGTGGGTGTATTGTGTACGTGAGATATTTGTTTGTCCGTTTTGAACTCCTTAAAAATCCTAGGGGTAAAATATCATGTGTAGTAACAGGGAAGTTTGGTATTTATCAGCTGACAAAATTATATATATTTTATAACATAATAATGGTTAATTTCAGTGGCTTCCTGAATCTGCAAGATATCACGTCGCCTCAGGCGAGCCGGATAAAGCTCTGGCTACTTTAGAACAGGTATTTGCAATTTTTTATATTTATTTGGAAGGCATCGTTAGACCTACAACCCATAGGCACTGATATTGTACTTAATTTTCTAAGAGAATATGCGTTTGAAGTCATCAACATCCCGATTATCGTCTTCACAGTCCATCGCAGGGCGTAGGATTTTATAATCAGACCGAATAAATTACAAAAATAACGGACTTCGGCGATTCGTCTCCAATGACAGTCACAGCGCTCGCTCTCAACCATAATGCGCACGCAGAACTGTCCATTTGACGTTCCGCCAGAGTACGATTCATTGTACCTACCCTCGTCCGATGAATTGTGATAAAACATCCTTCAAAATTCAATTCAAATAAAAGAAGAAAGAAACATGTAGATTTAAATAAACAAAACAAAAAAGTCGACAAAAAGTTAATAACTAGACTGGATCGACAAATTGATGCTTCTTAAATACTGTTTGTTTTAAATAAATTATTTTTAATTGCCAAAAAAACTAAAATATTCAGTGTTACACGTTATGAAAAAGTCAAAGTCAAAAGTCAAAAATCATTTATTTAAATTAGACCACAGTAGGCACTTTTGAACGTCAAGCAAGCAAAAAAGGAAAAAAGTATATAACAAGACCTTTAAAATTAAGGGTGTCAGTCTGTCCGTCTGTCCTCTAGTGAAGCTATTTGCTCGTTCCAAAGTGTAGATTCCTATGGAGAAGAACGAGCAAGAAACTCCATGGTTACTCTTTTTCAATCAGTTTTACAATACCTTTCTTTGTTACATCATTTAGTCGGTTCTGATATGTGAGAACAATGTAACACTAATGTTCAGGCAAAAAGTACGAAAAAGAAGTGAACCTCAAGGACAACATATTTAGACAGCCTGGAGATGACCAGTCCCAATAGGCGGCGCCCGTTCACGAATATGACACGTACACCAGCACCGCCCAACTCAACCATATTATAGGGAATTGGGCGATCCAGTGCCCGTGCCACCGCCAATGAGACCTCTGAGTGAGCATGACAGCTCCCAGCCGACACAAGTACCTATATTCTACAAGTCTTACTTAATTATAATAGGTTACAGGGCACTCACATTTACAAAATTTTAGAAATTCATCAACAATTAACAACATCGTGTACAATTTAATAATTAAAATCAAAAAAAATACTCTAAACATCCTGTGGAGTAGGACCAGCTAGCCTCCAAGCATTTTTATCTTGTATATAATCATTATATTTGAAATATAATTAATATAATATAATCATTATATTATATATGAAAAATCTTTAATTATATTCTCTATTCGATATTTCAGATAGCCCAAGATAATGGCAGGCCGATGTTGCTAGGACGTCTAGTCTGCGACGATTCCGTGGGGATTGGGCAGCGCGGCCGGCTCAAGCATCTCCTCATACCGCATCTAAGGAACACCAGCTTATTACTCTGGTTTATATGGTTAGTCAACATTGCCATTGTGCTATGATAGACTGGCCCCAAATATCCACTGCCTAATTGACTGCATAGTTGAAGGTAACTAGCGACCGACCGCCAACGCCAACGTCTTGCAGGTTTAATTCCCGCACGGAACAACTCTGCGTGTTAAAAATCTTTTGTAAACGATGACCCAGAATAAAATAACAGTATAGTGTATTTTTTTATATTAACAATCCCGTTGTGGCAATAGTCAAGTTGTATTAACCCCATGATAAAAAAGAGAATTATTCATGACAACAATCGTGTCTGCATCATTGTAATTCACAAAATGTTGGAAACTACTCTAACGATTTCAATGAAATTTTGTATGTAAAAAGGATTCAGCACCTCCGGCTTAGACAGGAGGTAGGACAGGGGAGGGTGTAGTTTTCCCTTCACAAAAAAAACAAAACGAAGTGTCATTTTTGTTGGAATAAAAAGGATCAGAGCAAAGCTAGTGAAACTAAAAATTAAAACATCTAAATGTAAAATTCTGTAACTATGTCTGTAGTGTTATTGCATTGGGACGTACAATTTAGGCAATAGATAATAAAATTATAATCAATCATCATCAAGATGTATAGGATAGTTTAGGAAAACTATTTTTGGGACACTTCCTTAGTGTATGTATTTGTTCTAGGATGTCATGTGCATTTTGTTACTACGGTCTAGTACTTATGACGACGGAGCTGTTCGAGACGGGCCCCAGCGGCCTGGAGGAGCCCTGCGCCGCCGACTGCCGGCCGCTGCAGACCACGGACTACATGGACCTGCTGTGGACTACACTCGCTGAGTTTCCCGGTAATATATACTAATATCATAAAACTGCAGTTTGTTTCTTTATTTGAACGCGCTAATCTCCACAACTACAGGTTCGAATTGAATAATTGTTTGTAACTACATTTGTCGAGGAAGACTAGGCTATAAAACATCACGCGATGTATTGTAGAAGCCGCAGCAGCGAGAGAAACTGCGCGACAGAAGCTAGTTTAACATAAAAGTAAAGGGTGTTCCAAAATTAACGCAAGAAGTTATATTAGTAGAAAACACAGGTTTATAAAAAAAATATTTTTGTATTGTTTTAAATTTTATATATATACCGTGTAGGATTACCTATGGAATAGTATGTCGAGTAAATGGCCTCCACGACATTGTGCGGCGCGTACACCCTCTTTTATTGAAACTTTCCATTATAGTTTTGCTCAAATATGACTAAATTTCGGTAATACAACGCTCAATTTCATTCATACGTAGACATTACCCGTAGACTTCAAAAAAACCACAAAGAAAAAAGTCCAGACCGCGTCAAGTTGCATGATCTGATTCGGAACACTTTCCAGGACGAATGGCGCAAAATTCAAATCTTGCGTGCATTTTGGGACACTGGATATAATAGTTTATCAAATTATTAAAAAGTTTATATCGTTATGCGATCATACACTTCGCCTTCCTGCCCTCAACATATAAGTATGTTTATATTTCCCTATCACAGACCCATTCATTATAAAGCAGCAATTCAAATATGACGATTTATGAAGTTTTGCATAATATCATTGTAACCAATTTTCAGCGGTAGATTACATATTAATAATGCACATTATGCATTTAATAAGTTTTGTTATTCTCTAATTTTGCGGCCTCTTACGCAATTCAGTTTAAAAATATTTATCTATAGAATAAAAGAAGGTTGCTGATGGGTGACTCTCACAATGTATATATTTTGTGTGAAAATCCTTATGCGGTTTACATAATACGAAAATTTTCAACAATGTAGTTCTTATAATTTCGAAAAAATGTGTCTGTGACATTAGATGGACTACGGCGACCTCTGTCTGGTTCCGAAACAAACAGGGAAATGACAATTGGGTAGTTTCCTAGGTCAAAAATAAATTAATTCGACGTTTCAATACAATAAACAATTGAAAACTAACTATACTTTTATTCATCAGTCGATCGATACACTAAGTTTTAGATATTTTGCAGCTAATTATTAAGAAATAAGTAAGTTATTTGACGCAAAAATACTATGACGCCATAACTCAGTTTTACATACAAATTTCATAGAAAAGTATCGTTTTTGACATTTGGAAAAAAGTATTGACTTTGACTAGTTGGAAACTACTCTATTATAGTATCGCCAGAATGTCAAACTTTAACATGGATGTCATTTTCATTGAATTAATTTGTTAAAAGCTGTGTAACTAATATGTTTACATTTTTATCCTCCCCAGGTATATTCGCCACGATATTCATCATAGAAAAATATGGACGCAAGAAAACAATGGCTACACAATTCGTTATATTTGCGATGTGCGTCTGTGTCCTCATTTATAATGGAAAGTAAGTATTTGAGCAATTAACCGTCATAAAACCGCCTTTAGTTCTTCAATATCTTAAAATTGGATATTTATTTATTAATTTCTGATGAAATTACAAGATCCATATGTTGTTATGATTTATCGGTTGAGGTGGTTTACTATAGGTAAACAATCCTGGTATGTATTTTTATATTAATTAAAAAGGTCGTATAAAATACATACAAAAATATTTAAATTTAGTTTAATAGCTAACGTCGTTTTAAGTAATTTTAGATAAAAAGACAAGCCTAGATTGTTTACATTTAGTTCGTTAATTATAGATAGACCATAGACACTCTTGATGCTCCTAATGCTAGTAAAAACCTCAACCTGTAAATAAAATTAAGACAAATGACACCTATGTACGTGAGCAGACGTATCCAATAAGCCATCATGTCTCTCATCAATGGCACAATACAATTTTGAAACGCTTGTTCACTGGAACAAAAGAACAAAAAATATAATCATAAATCGGCGGGTCTTATCAAAACTATCTAACTGATGATGATCCTATCCAATGAATAAAACGATTTTTTTCTTGCTTTCAGTCGAACATTCCTCACATGCATACTATTTCTCGCCAGAGGCATTATAGCGGGATTATTTCAAGCTGCTTACGTTTATACGCCAGAGGTAAGGTTTTTTTGCAACTATTCTTAATATAAACCTTAATAAAAAAAGTCTTATCAATAATACTAAACGTATAATATTTAATCATCTCTTTTTTAGATGGAAATAACGACTCATTCAAGTGATGATTTATATTTAATTTACTCAAATCTTATAAAAAAGACTCTTATTCGTGTGTACCGTGACGACGTCGCACAATCGATCTTCTCTCGGTAAATTCACCCGAGTAAGACATTTTTAATAACTTTAGTATGTTTCACGATACCAAACCAAAAATACAGTACAGTGTTTCATACTCTAGATAGCTGAACACACAACAAATGAACTTCTTCAAAAACTTGTGAAACCAGATCTAAATAAAGATGATGAAAACTATTTACGATTAAGTCGAAGTCATTAAGTGTACACTTATATAAATTAATGGCTTCACAATCTCAAACACTATAAAAATATCCTTATTGTTCAGGTGTACCCGACGGCTCTTCGGGCGACCGCAGTTGGCGCCTGCAGTGCTGTCGCACGACTAGGAGCTATGGTCACACCATACGTGGCACAGGTATGTATAAACACATTTTACTAATATTATAAATGCGAAAGTTACGATGTTTGGATGCTTGTTACTCAATGATGCCAACATGGCTGGACGGATAAAATTTGGCAAGGCATAGGATACACTCCAGAATAGGACATAGACTACTTTTTATCAACATACCACGCGGGCAAAGCCGCGGGCGGAAGCAGGTATACTATAAATGTTTATAATAACAGGATTTTATAGGATAAAAAGCAAAAGTGGAAGAAGTGCGTTCCGGTTCTTTGGGAAAATTAGGTCTCCGGTTACTCTACTCTCGGTTTCCTCTCAATCGCGAAACCGTGCCGGTACTAATACGACTGAGCTGGCCTAGTATTGACCAAGCAAGACCCTCCTTTTTAAATAGGTTTTTTTAATGTAGATAAGTCTAAAAATTCTGTCACGTATTTCAGGTCCTGTTGAAAAACTCAATAGTGATAGCAACGAGTGTGTACTCTCTAGTGGCCGTATTAGCGGCCGTCGCGTGCCTCGCACTGCCCATAGAGACTAAAGGCAGGGAGATGAGAGACACAGTCACTGTAACAAACTAGAGAAACAGAGGTTACCCAAACACATTCAAGTTTTATATATATGTTTAAGGACTGATTTTTCAATGGTTAGATATAAGTTATCTGGGGAATAATTATGATGCTGTCGCGTCAGAACGTTTGTATAAGACAATTTTATTCCCTTAGACAACATTTATCTGACTATTGAAAAATCAGATATCGTAACACGGTTTTTACATTGTTACAAAAATCTCAAGGACGTAATCAATGTACATAATACGTACGAATGACACGAATGAAACGTAATGATACGACTTCGAAAAATATTTGCGGTGTTCTGATTTTTGTATCTCATTTTAAAAATGTGTTAAAATTATTTTTTTAGAAGTTCATTTGGTTACTGACTCCGATCAAAGGTAACTAATGTACTACGCTTGATTGTCTATTTATATCTTATTTAGTTTTATAACTTATTCTTATATAACTCTACCTATGTATACTTATTTTATCTTTTACTTCTTTATATCAATACTTTGTTATTTTTCATACATCGAATTTTATTAAATGCCAATGTTAACTCAATGTGGCAAACTACCTAAGGGATCAAGTTTATAATATATTTAAAATTAGATATTTTTATAAATAGAACTTATGTAAGTTAAAATGTACTGTACTGTAAGGATTGCTATTTTTAAATGAAGTTGCTGAGTGATCTATAGTGATTGTTAGCTGATTGAAACCATGTATGATATTTTATATATTTTGTGGGTGCTCTAAGAACATTGAGATTGATTACTTACTAATTTATTTCAATTAACTATGTGCTCGCAACCAACTCTGGGCAATTTTAAAATGGTGCTGTCATTTATAAACATTGAAGTAAATAAGCTTTTAGTTTGTAAGATAAATTATTATATAATGTATTTACAAGAGACTGCTATCAAGTAGGTAGCTATTAAAAATAAACTTAATAAAGCAAAATGTACTTAAAATACTCAATACTAATGAATACTCAGATTTGTATCTGCCCTGTTTAGGAATAAAATGTCTTCCAATGTTGAAATCTGTATTCAGTATTATATGCTAAGTTTAATTATATGTTATTTATAAATTGTGACGTCTTCATGCTAGTGCTAGATGATTTATTTAAAAATTTCCAATTCACACAATGCGTGATTACATTCCAACAATAATAATTAAGTCTATCATGATCACGTACTTATCAATCAGATTCCTAATCAAATATGTCCGATAAATAACATAATCTAATGTAACAACAATAACAACTCATATTTATAAAAAGTGATAATATTTTTCATGAACAAAACAAATTCATAAAATGTTATTTATCAATTAAAATATTAGTTCATTTCACAAAAATAATGCGATTTTTTCTCAGTCTTGTTTAAACCAAGATGATGTCTTTGTTATTTCATAACATTTATTTTTGTTTCATATTATTTTAAATCGTGCATTTATTCAGGCAGATTTTTATTAAAAATTACTGTTAGTTACTATTAATATGTTAAGGTTGTGACAACATGTACTTAAGCAAATTAAACCTAGCGACTCCACTAGTAACGAATATGAGAGAAAATAAATATTACCTATTCATTTGAAACAAATAGAAAACTGAATTATTAATCTTTAAATGGTCCGAATAATGGTAATGTTATCGGTAATTTACATTCTACTAATTAAAATTATAATTATACAAATCTTCTCAATGTTTCCTTTTTCCGTTGACTTGTATGTAATTTATACTAATAGCTAAAATGTGTATGTAATCACTGATTCATTTCACAATTTTTTTTTTTAAATATCACACAGAATAAGAATTCAGTTATCTACCTATTATTAGTGACTTATAGCACTAACCTTTTTATTAATTTGTGATTAATTATTTTATTTATATAGAAATCGTTTATGTAATGAAACTATGCTTTGTGAACAAATAAAATAGTTACTTATCACTTTTAAAATCAGGGTTTGTATGTACAAATAGAAAGTGTAATGTGTATCTCTTCGTGTGCGAAATGCTGTGGCGAAATAGCTTAACAGTCACTTGTTTTATTGCAGTGATCGTATTTTCCTGGTCCAAATAAATTCTTATAATGAATAAAGTGACACGATACAGACTTATCATAGAATATTATAGTGATGTAATCACAGCTATAACACCAAATATATTTATGCTTATTTATATTACGTTAAGTTTTACACGATTTTAATAAATAACAAATATGCACAGTTCGCATTTTTATTTCAAGATACTGACAGCCCTTTGAGAATAAAATGTAATAATATACTATGTAAGAGTGCAATAGGTACCTCTATATTTAAAGGAGGAAATAAAAGAAGTTCATATTAATAATATAAGAATTTAATTAATTTTAGCTATATTGAATAATACTCACACTAATAATTATTTTCCATAAGTGTCAGAAGCAAATAAAATTTGGAATCACAGTTTAAATCACACAACTCAAAAATATTTCACTATAGTTACATTCAACTGATCATTAATGATAAGCCTAACATAATAGAATTAAATACCTATGAATACATGCAGTCAGTCAAAATAATGGCGAATCTTTACAGTTAGCCTTTAAACGACATTACAAGGATCATCATACCACATTTCATCAATGTTACTTGGCCTGAACACTCAATAATGCCATGTTTCTTAATGAACACTGGCTAAGACTTACTCAAAATAAAAATAAACTTGACCATCATTATGTTCCACAGAAGGATTTGTCTGTATGAGATAGAAAGCTATGTTCTGGAAACAATAATTTGATAAATAATATAAAAATATACTCACAATTAATAATTAGAAATGAAATAATAATTTGGCATAAATTAATACTAAGAACAAAATGATGGTCACATTTATTGCTCAAAGTCTACAATTGAACCTTAATAAACTATAATAAATATCAAATTTGGCTATTTTCTTTACAGAAATAAACACCCTAATTAACTTCATAGCCTGTTAAATTATTAGCGCTAATTTAATATTATGAGTCGCATTTTCTTCAACAATTAATTGTGTTCTAAAACTAGGTATGCTAAGCGAGAAGGTCTAATAAATGTGGGAAAGAAATGTCTTCATACAAACTGTATTATTATCTATAAGGTTTTATATATACATTAAGTATGAACTGCAGCCCCCAGTTCTAATATTTACCCATAGAAATTACATATTGTATGTGTACACTAAGTAATCTACAAGAATTAGGTAAGATACCCTAATATTTCGAGAAAACATTGCACATGGTGCACTTTACAATTAACTTTTATTAATGTATTGATTTTCTCGATATTAAAACACACATACACTTAAAAATTACATACACAATACAACTATCTTTAGAATGTGTGATGCATTAACATACATATTATGTTTATACTGTTCAATTATTTATGGATAAAGATTACTCAACATTTTCAATTATACAATATTAATATGTAATTTGAACATGCTAGGTAGAAAGTTTCACTTATAAAGCTTTTGTCAGCATAAATGATGCTGTTGTTATTGAGATCAATAAATCAAAGAGACTTCAAAGAATGTTCTCATGAAAATTGTTTTCAGTTTCAGTTAGCATTTGTTTAACAATCACTCTGTGAGCTTACTTAAGTATCTATTGACCATATCAATTAATTGATCTGAAGCTACATAATTAAAAATAACACATAGGTGTATATTGTCCAACTTTACTGAAATTGTAGTTACAATATTTGAATATAAATTTCAATCATGTGAATAATTACCTGAATTTATCCAAATTACTCACTTGAGAATTTAGATATTTTAACAAAACTGAACTTGAACATTGTGTATTGCCATAGTCTCCACAAATTGATTATTTATCTTTCAAAATATCAATAATTAGTACAAAAAGAAAATAACCATCAGTTGATAACTTAAAAATATTTCAATCTTATTTATTATGATACGGTGGGAAATCACTAATATAATATGATGTGCCTACTTAAACATGACAAGAAATTGAAAAGATTGTAATATTTACAGAATAATTAAACACCCTAATCACATGTCTCAAATATACATTATATTCATAGAAATACTCTATATAAATTAAGAATGATCATTCATTTTCAATGCTTTAAAATATACAGTATATTGAGTTGTTAATAAGCTTGAAAATGTTGCTTTAGTTATAAAGTAAAAAGATAAAACAAATATCAGGATATTTAAATCATATAATAATCTATCCACTATATATTTAAAGCTGCCTTAATGTGATCAATAGTGTGATAATGACATAGGATATAATTAATCCGGCTTACATTTTTAATTAACAAGGGAGTAAGTTTGTACTAAAAACTTCTAATTCAATCATCATCTAGTTCTATGACAATTGGTTCAACATTTTCTGTTGCCTTTGTATACTCATCCTTTAGTTGTGCTAATAAAGCACACTTTGGTATTTTAAGTTCCTCGGCTTCATCTATTAACATCTTCAGTTTCTGTAACCGGCCAATGTCAGGAGCAGTAGGAAGTAGTATGTTCTTTGTTTCAGTCATCCACTTGTCAAAACTATTGACTCTAAAATCTATAGTTTGCAACATTATATGTAATTCATCCATATCATAACGGAAGTTTAATGTCTTTTTCTCCATAGGGCATTTACATAAATCATCTGCATGTTGCAAACATACCATATGCTTACAATCTATGCATGATATAGAAGATAGGAAACATGTTGTTTTACACACTTCACATAGCCTTTCATCGTCACCTAACAACTCAAATGCAGTTCTATGTGTTCTTGTAAGACCTTTTTTCAACATTTTAGCTCTCAGTGAACCTTCTTCTGCTGTAGCCTTAACTAATTCTTTTTGTGTTTCCAAAGCTGTTTCCAAGTCTAGCCGATCTCCCTCTAGGGCCATTTTACAAATAAGTTCATCATGAGAAAAGACACAGAAACGCTTGAGATTTTTGTAATGTGTGATACACTCACGTCCAATCTTAAGCCAGTCAGGAGGTGCAAAATTGACTGCTTCTGCAAAGTTATATCCTTGATTAAAGCCTGCATGATATGCTCTGGGAAAAGTGACGACAAACTCTCCAGCATGTTGATCAGTTCTATAAATTGGTACACCAGCAGCCATTAAGATATTTGGATTCATAATAGTTACTAGCTGGTGTAACAAATCAGGTTGTGATTTAAAAAGTTCAGGAGCTGCTGCCTTCATGGCCGTTTCCAATAACTCTGCACCACTGCCTGGCACTCCATACCATGTTTTAGCCTCACCCCAATGCAAATAATTAATAGAGTAGCTCCAATGATCTTCATTATGCCAACAAAATGCAGAAAAGCACATTCCAACATACATCCATGGTACAGTCATACCAGATATATCTGCATTTATAAATCTTAATACAGAGCCATCCAGAACAGGTAAATTATTTAGATTCCACCCCGAATCCACATATTCTTGATCACCAGGATAAAGATTAATTGATGATTTTGTAGGAAATCCTGACCCATGGTCCATGGAATGTAAATCTGCGCCATACTCTACAGTAACATCTTCTTCCACTGAAGAAATAATTCTCCAAAATTCTTTCTCCGCAACTGTTGTTGGCACTAGATGTCCAGACATGGCAAAGTAATCAGATTTAAATTTGTCTGCCATTTCCCCAAACTGTTGCAAAGTATATTCTCTTTCTGCCTGGGCAAACCCAAATGCCTCTGCAGGCTTGTGAACTTCCTCAGCAATACAACAAGGGCAACGCCAATCTCCATCTGGCACGGCATTCAGTGGTGGCCTCAAACAAAATGTATGATAGGTATCAGAACATCCATTACAAATTAAAAGCAAATCATCTCTATTATCTTTCTGGCAAATAGCACACTGATACACTGCTAGTGGATCAAGATCATAACGAGGTCTCTTCCTAGATTTTGTAATATCAAATTCTTCATCATTTAACCCAGGCATTTTTGGTCCAGGTCCATAACAAGCTAACCTTCTGAGTTCTCTGTTTGATGTAGCTTTTTCAATATCTGATTTAGTCTTGGAGCTGTCCACATCCTGTTTAATATCAGATCCTGTCTTTGTTTTTTTGATACTTGTGTGAGGTTTCTCTTCCTTAAAATCATACTCTATTTTAACTTTTGTTATTGTTTCTATTGGTACTTCTGTTATTTGAGGCTTACCTATTTCATCTTCTTTTATTTCAATTTTGGGTTCAGTCTTTTTAACAGTTTTCATTATGTCTGCTTTGCTTTTCTCAAATATTTCATAAGGAAGCAAAATTTTTTCATAATTGCTTTTTAAAAATGCCAATGTATTAGCATGAAAACTGTACCCCATGGCGTTAGCAATTTTACGCCATTTTTTTGGATTGTTACATGCCTCAAAGCCGCCCTCTTCATCGACCCAAAATTTTAGACAATACAAATCTAATGATTTGTTTTCAATCATAGGAATTTTTAAAGGAGATCCTTGAAGTTCCCAAAACTTTAAAATTTTCTCGAGGAATATTAGTTTGAGGCGTGTTATAGCTTCTAACTCGTTAACTTTTTGTATCCTAGGAACAAATTTTAATTTGTCCACATCTAGTGAAAAAGGTGGCTGCCAGCGTGATGGAGGCTTTATTTTGCAGATGCCTGTTCTCTCCGCAACTGGACGAATTTTTGCTATGTATCCGAGGGGATCTAAAAACTCTTCGGGCGTCGGTTCAAACACGGGTGCTTCAGGAGGTGGAGTGAAAGTAAATTCTGCACTTTTGTGCATGGCATTTTTTTGTATATTCTTGCTATCCATTTTCACTATCGACGTGAAAGCCACGCTTATGTAGATCTCAAAATAAGTCTTTTATGAAAGTACATAAAACATTTCAATCCGAGTAAAAGTCTACGTGACTTCTCGCCATGTGTAAATGGCTCCTAAAATGTTAAGATAGTAAAATACACTAGTACACTGCCATTATTGTATTCCGCATTAGGAGCAGACGATTAGTTACAAAATCGTTCACACTGCTTGACTTAAACACAAAACTCGAAAGTTTAGATTATTATAATGAAACAAAATTACTTATCGATTAAACGATTTTCGTTTACAAAAGCGTATCGGGCTAGTCACAATATCACGTCCAGCCAGTAACTTGATAATTCACTCGACTCGACCACGGCGGTTCGTTCATTGATGATGCCTCGTTCAAACGCAACTCGCTCGTCAAAAAATACCACGCACACATACACGATAAAATAATATCGTTGACTTGCTCTTCAGCTCTTCCTCAATCCCATTGGTTATTTAATCGAGATTCTTGCACGCTTTCGGTGGGGTGGCGGGGGAGATATGTAAATGATTGAAACATTATGTTGGTGTCCTTTTCTAATTACTTCTTCACATTTTAATGGAACATGTCCATTACACGCTACACGCTTTACGCAATTCCATTAAAATAAAAACTACTCATAGTTTTTCCTACAATTAACATTGTTTCATGTCTGTCAGTTTTGAAGTCTAGGTGGACTAGGGAAGCGAAGCTAATGTAATATAATACTTAAATTATGTACTGCTACAGTGCGGTAGCGTAAAAATAATACACTACAGTAATGACGTCGTATAATCAATGATGGCCGTGTAAGTGTAAGTAGATATTCATAAGTGAGACTTCATACTGCCTGAATAAAGTACCTACTTAATAGAGAAACGTATCGATCTACCTACTTTCCGTCAATAAATTTAAAGAAGTTGGCTCAACTTAGAAAATATTTCTTCAGGCCTGTGCTAATTTGGCTCATTTTAAAATGCTCATAGTCTGATGAATGTAGATACCAAAGGGTCAAGCCACAAAGTACATTTTAGCAATAGGAAAGGGTCAAGCTACAGATAAAAGTACGCAATAGTAACAGCTAAAAATGTGGCCCCGTGCAGCTGTTCAACAAATTTATTTATCAATTAATTAGATAGGTTTCATCAATTGCCTCATAATCTGTTTATACGATCTTTTTCCGTCGGTTACAGGTGATTCAAGGTATTGTTGTTTTTATTCAAATTAAGTTGTTGGTAAGCACCAATCCTTTTCATTCGTGTTTGATGTGATGCTAGTGTTGGTTTTTAAGTAGGTAAAATCAATAGTTCTGTTTTTGTTGCCAGCGTACTTGCGACTACTTTCGAAATTGTATGTTTTATTATTTTATTTTATATTGTTTTAATTTACCGTGTCATTTCATGATGGTTTTATAATAGAGATTAATAATACTAGCTGCTAAAGCGGTATTATATTGGGCAGAAAAGAATAATCAAAAGCTAAAGATTCAAAAGTATTCAATAGAATTTCTAACAGATACCAGTATATGTATATGCATCTAATTAATATGAGTTTTCAAAGTGTACTAAAAGTAGTAGTAAATATGCTAGTTTTATCAATGACGAATAATTGAATTAGGATCGCACGTCTGATATACGCATTGCTTAAACTAAGAAAACTTTTGAATATACATTTATTTGCTTGAATTATTTAATCACAATTTTAAAATGACAATAATAAAAAATGTAGTTATTTAGTCGTGGCTTTTGTCAACACTGAAACATGTACCTACTGATGTCAGATTGACAGGCACTAAACGTCAAAAAACATAACCTTAATTTAGTTAACTTGCTGGTTTAGTTGTTAGTAATAGGTTTACCAGTAATTCGATTTTATTACTTTATTAATATAGGAAAATGTTAAATTCCTTTCGTGGTGTTTGGGCGGCAAACATTCAGCTTCAACAGATAAGATGTGCGCACAGAATTCGAGGCAAAGCACCTATATTCTGTCGTACAATCAAGGAACGTTTAGATGAATTAAACTATAAAGATGAATTATATAGAACTAGAATTGATATCGGTTTGCCTCAAATGAAGTGAGTCTTTTCAAAAGTTTACTTAATTTATAATATCTGTTATTATTTGAATAATTATCACATCATTTTAGTGCACATTTGTATTGATAACTAAATTGTATAAAAATTTAAAAATACAATTTCTAACTTACATATTATTCTATTTATTTTAGAAAATTATCAGAAAGTAGCCGCCGTTCAAAACTAGATCATTTAAAAAAAATTAAAGCTGATAAGAATTTAGAACAACTGGCACGCAATCATACATTAGAAATTGATCTAAATGAAGCTAAGAAAGAATGGTTGAATACTTTGGGTCCTCAGCACAAGAAGCAAATTGCTGATCACTATGGCATATTTGAACATCTGTATGGAGAAGGGTATTTTATACCATACTTGAATTTGGAAGTTTTGTATGATTTGAAAAATGGTTCTTACCTACCTGTTTACACTGGAAATGATATAAAGCCTGCTGAAGCACTTGAATATCCAATAGTTAACTATGAATCGGACCCAGATAGTTTGTGGACCCTCGCTCTTACTAGTCTAGATGGTCATTTAACAGAGGGTGATAAAGAGTATGTACACTGGCTTGTAGCAAATATACCTGGGAACTCCATTGAAAAAGGGGATACTATAGTAGAGTACCTGCAGCCAATACCATTGAAGGGTACTGGTTATCACAGATATGCTTATGTGCTTTACAAACAAGATGGAAACATTAATTATGATGTAACAAAAGGTACTAATTTTGACAAATACTTTTTTTTCATTCATTTTTCATCAGAGTAATTATTAAAATAGATTTAGAATTTAGATGAAATTTAATGTGAGAATAGTCCTTTTCTTAGAAGTGGGATGGTTACAGGGTGAAAATGGGGATGATGAACTTGAAAAATGATTATGATTCTAATGTTTATTTATTGGAAAATAATTTCAGTAACTGCAACCTCACCTTTAGAAGACAGAACATTTGTGACAAGGGAGTGGTATCAAAAATATCAGGATAACATCACTCCTGCAGGGCTTGCTTTTTTCCAAACCAATTGGGACATATCTGTAAGAGATTTCTTCCATAAGGTATTGGATACCAAAGAACCAGGTAAATTAACAATAAATTGTTTAAAATTTTACTTTAAATTACATATTCTACTAGCTACTCTCCCGCAGTTTCACCCGCTGCTCTGCTCCATTTGATCGTAGCGTGATGTTTTATAGCCTATAGCACTCAGGAACATTGTAGTTACCTATCAGTGAAAGAATTTTCGCAATACGACCAGCGGTTCCAAAGATTACCCTACATACAAACTTACAAATTTTACCTCTTTATAACATTAGTATTAATATAACTTATTTAATATCTTTTCAGTTTATGAGTATGACTTCCCCAAGCCATACTTGAGGCCACAAGAATGGTTTCCCCGTAGGAAAGCATTTAACTTATACATGGATAAATACCGTGATCCAAAGCAGATCAACAAAGAGTACCTGTTGCGTAAATTAAAGGATGAGGACCCCTTCAAGGCACCACCACCACCATTGAAGTTCCCCAATGCCCAACCCTTCCCTAAAAACATGCCTTCATGGTTGAAGCTCCATGAAAAGAAGATAAGATTGGGTTGGGGTAGAGTTAATGATGTTTAAGATTTATTAAAATATTAGGTAGTGCAAATATATTGCTCTTTTATTTCATCAAATATCATTTACATTCTAATTAAATATGTACAATTTAGTACCCGTCTGTTTGAAGTTGTTTTAAATTCAAGATATAGTTATACTTAAAGATTAAAATCTACAAATAAAAAATTACATTGATCCAGATAGATTTTGTTTATGATCGATTTGTCAAGCTTTATGGGAAACCTCGAGCCAAAGAATAGGTCACAACATGTTAAACTACTGGACCAACATTCCCAGATGAATAAGTTAGGATATGACCTCGGCTCCCCTTTTCGATTTGATACAGTAGACCTCCGGTAATCCGACAAACATTATGCAGGGTAGTGTCGGACTATCGAATTTGTCGGATTATAGAGCACTGACTAAGACCGCTATAGTCCGGATTTTTTTACAAAAGAGTACCTTGTAATCCGACAAATTACATATCCAATGATAAGAATCTACATATATGGTATATGTATCTACATATGTACTTAAGTCGAATTATTATATAAATTAAATAACAATCGAGAGCTTACATTTTATTATAAAATTAAGCATAAATGCACATACATATCTACCAAAATAATCAAGAATTACTAATCAAAAACATGTAGTGAATTTATAAAAGCATGAAAATTTGAAATATTCATTATAACGCGAGATCAGAGTTTTGTCCCTCAGTCTTCTCAAAAGTAAAAGTTCGTTGTAGGATGTACCATTCTCTTCAGCTCATTGTAAACCTAGCTCAAAAGCGTTAACTGCGTCACTAGTAGTCTAATTCAAACTAAGTAAAACAATTTCGGTGGCGCGTACGAGTTGTGACCCTATTCAAACCTGTTGTGTGTGTGTGTTTTACATTATCGAAGATTTTCAAACATAATTCAAAGTCATGTCGGATTACAGGGGGCGCCGGATTACCGGGGGTCCACTGTATTTGTTTATTTATTTATGTACAACACCATCTTTACAGGTACACCACCTAATGCGACAATGTTGCCATACATAGAAATCGTTAAAAATGTACCTATCTGTAACATAGTCAAAAGTAATTCCAACAAAATCGCTCGAACAGAAACTACATTTAAGTATTTTTAGACAATTTACCTGATCAAGTGGCGCTCCTATGGACACTCGTACCAAATTACCAAAAGTAATTTTACTTACCAAGAGTTACTACAAGTGCGTTGCAGGTGTCCAGATTTACACGTGCCGTCGTGCACAGTGAGGCTTAAAGAGGTCACGTATCTCTAGATAGAGATATGCCATAACAGGCGTTGCACCAAAGAGTCTCTGGAGTTGGTCTTTCAAGAGGTCTCGGTGTCGCTTATTATAGGTGCTGATATTTTACCCTTATTGAGGTTTTGACGAGGTAAAAATCCCACACTTTCTATTCTTTTTCCCCAAATGTTAGGCGCCTTTGAAGGTTTCCCCCGTAAAAAAAAGGTCTCCGGATTTAAGCGTAGGACATTTGACGATAGGATAGGGTAGGGGGTGGGTCTCAACCTCAAATATGCGAAAACACGTCGCAAGTGTTGCTTCACGCCGGTTTTCTGTGAGGCAGAGGTATAAATCCAGTTGAGCCGGAGCATGCCTCTCCCATACTTCCAGATTAACATGAAAGATATTTTTACTCTAACTTTTTACCTTACAACCTTCGTTTTTGTGATGGTTCCTAAACTAAAACACAAGGTCCGTTACGCACGTATTTTTATTAAACATTAAAATAAAAAAATAACTATCTTAAATCAGACAAAATTTCTTAATTATTGCAAAGAAATCAACGAATTTGGTTCTTCTCAACTATAATAGAAATGCTAAACTACTAGAAAGTTATACGCAGTCCATGCCGAGTTTGTTACGTGTCGATGAACAGATTAGGAAACAATGCTAAAAATACAATCCAAAAATAATGACTAAAAAAATTTCATAATAATTATGTAATTTTGGTTAAGAAAATACATAATAATATGGCAAAACGAAAACTACTTGTATATCTATGTAGTTACAATAAATGCAGTGAAAGTAAAAGCTTATCGTAATTATACGTGGACAAGTGTATATTAAAGTTGTGGTTATAATTATTGCAAATAGTAATTTGATTTATTACAATAGCAATGGCTACAGCCTTGTTGTTCAGACTTCGTTCATTACAAAACAATAACATACTTTTTTATAACTAAAACTTCTATAACTTGATATTATTGGTTCAGCAATTAAGTGACAAGCACCTGTTAACAATTAAACGTTACTCAAACATATAACTATTGTAAATGAACATCCACAAATGAACATAGTACGAAATACAAATATGTTGTTAAGTGCTTGAAATATACACATGGGTTTATGTTTCGACATAATTAATTATAATACCCACTCCATATTATATAAGTATTTTAGATACCTAGTAAATTTGCAAATTTGTTACCAAATATTGCATATAGTTTCGTATGACTTAGTCAAGACCAACATCGTCGTCTGTGGGGGCTTTTGGTCCGCCCGCTCCAGGTGCTGCGCCGCCGAAACCTATAAAATCGAATACACACAATTTAAGTTTTTCAGAGTTATGACTTTAAGCTTGCATTTTACACGACATGCAAAGGCCTTAAGACAGATTATAATATTATTTACCTGGGAAGCCACCAGCTCCACCTTTACCCAGTTTAGATTGCAGTTTCTCAATAACTGCCGCGATTTTTGGATTGTTCTGATACTTAACGAAGTTAGCTGGGTTGGACGAAACATCTTGGAATGCAGCAGCCACTTCTGGGTCCTGAAGACAGCAAAATTATTTTAGTATGAGGCTATTGAATATACATGTAGATGTTTTTATGTTATATGGATAGATGTTATGATAAATATGGATAGAGATGTATTAGATAGATGGTCTCTGAAAAGGCTTGATTATGTATCAGAATCCGACCCAATGAATACTTATTACTGTTGGGTAATGGTGCTTTATTATTGGAAATTATTACCTGGAATGCTGCCATGATTTCTTGGTCAAAGAGTAAGTTGCTAAAGTCTTGTGGATTTAGCCCGGCAGGGAAACCACCTGCGCCTCCAGGGAAGCCTCCGGCGCCACCTGGGAACCCACCAGCTCCAGGGAAACCACCGGCTCCTGGGAAGCCACCAGTAGGTGGGGCGCGGGCGTTGGCTTCAGCTTGTGCCCTTGCCGCACGAGCTCTAGCTTCCTGCGCCTTACGAGCTCGGCGCAACTTTTCACGATGCTGAAATTATGCATAAAGTTCGTCATCTAATATTCATGCTGGGTGAAAATAGTGCATTGGATTTTCGAACTTCTCAGTATGTGCCCACACAGACACACTGTAACTTGTATGTAACTTACATATTCAAGCTTCTAAGCAGGCTGATAATATAGTAAGATAGATGTGATGTTATGCACTTTACCTCTCTTTCTTCCTTCTTACGTTGAACACTGAGTTTATGTTGACGCAGTTTCTCGGCATTAGGCTTGACTTCAGTCAGCCATTCATTAGTTTGGTCGTCATAGTCAATTTTCAGAGATTCACAGAGATCATGAGATGCTTCCTCAAACTTGCCAAGTAACCTGAAAAGGAAATTTAAAATTGCACAAGGTAACTTATAAATTCTACAGTATTATTTTACTTTTCTCTTTAAACAATATATAATGAGTGTGCATTAAAGTATATATATAAATAAATTTTTGAACATCAGATGTTGGTATTCCATTTTCATAAAAATAGGCTATGTTAGTGAAAAAGGTAAGATCAATTAGTGAATTCGAAGTTAAAACTTTATCACTTCTTTTGAGTAGTCAGTTCTTTTCTCTGCTGCTCTTGTTCAGTTGGTCCCTGCTGTTTTTTCTTTTTTCTTTACAAAAAGCTGAGCTTATAAGCTATGAAGTAATTTTAAATATAATAAAATTAATTCCAACCTGTAAGCTCGTCCACGGAACTTGTATGCGGCAGCACTGTCGCAGTTGAGCTCAAGGGCGCGCGTGCAGTCTTTGATGCAAGCATTGGGTTTGTTCATCTTAAGATAGATCTAAAGAAAAACAGTATTTGTTAAAAAAGTGTATATAGTGTGGTGATGAGTGAGTGTGGCCACTTTTGCAAAGTGCTGGCCTTGGCTATGACTTAAAATAAAATATTCTGTTTTGAAAATCTCTGTAAAAATGTTTTCAACATTGTATGGTATAACACATACTCAAAGTTTATTCATAATTAATTTATAAAAGGTTTTGTGTACTACAAAACAATACCATTCTACCTACATCACTGAATAGTGCATTCTGCATTCATAAAAAACCCAAAACATAATTTACATATTACAAAACTTTATAAACTACAATGTTTGTTGATAATCCATACCTGTCCTCGTTTAGCGAATAGTAAAGCACTCTGTGGATTGAGTTGTATAGCTTCATTGTACAGTTTAATGGCTTCATCATACTGTTGCTCAGAGAAAGCCCTCATAGCTTCTGACCTCTTCTCGTCAGACTGGTCTCTCTCCTCATCTGTCACTTCTTTTGATGCGTCTCCCATAATCTGAGCATCATCTACTATGTCTGCTTCTATGACACCTGAGTAAAATAAAAAGAATGACTAGAATAATCTTCAAAGATGATTATTATTGTAAATGGACTGAAAAAAATAAATAAATCAGATTTGTAAGAAGGATAAGGGTACAAAAACCTACACCATACGCTATGGTTTTGTGAAGCATCTACTATAGTGGTCATAAACCTTTAAAAGAACTCAACACAATTTTATTCAAATAATTTCCATTGTTATCACATTTATTATTCCTCATTGTTTTTAAAAATAAAAATTATCATGGCCCATTTACATTATTGTGTTACACAGTAAATTGATAATATATTCTTGCTACAAACATTTAATATACAATTTTAGGATATGTAATTACAAGAATCTGTCCCCACAAAATAATCCTACTTTCTTGGTTTAATTGGAAATATTTTATTAAGGGAGTTGTGTTTTAAGTCATTAGCATAGGTTTAATGTGGCAAGTTTCAAATTTAGCTCTTAGATATAAATAGGTTTGTTTTTTGATTGTTGGTCAATTTTTATGACAATGACTCATGTTTTATTGTTGGATGCTATTGGTAATTTGTGTCAGTGTGTGTATAAGTATAAAAGTTGCTAATTAAGTTGTAATGTAGTACAGTATGGCTGACATATCTTCTATCTAACAAAATTATGTACTGCGCAGCTAATCGGCTAACTTCAGACTCACCAAGATATGTCGGCGGTATTGTATGTGGTGTGGTTGTGTACACAATTAAAACTTGTAAAGCATATCTCACAAGTTGCAATATTAAATTATTGTCAAACCCTGATTTCATTTAGTAGTAGTGAGATATAAAACTCATATGCCTTACCCAAATGAACAAAAGATAGACAGTATTTAAATAGTGTTCATTGTTAATTAAATATATTTTTTTTAAATTAGTCATTTAAAAATGCTGTTCATTGCAGGCTATTTAGAATATTTTATCTTTATAAAATGCAAATAATATTTGAATATTCACCTTCCATATCCAATTCCACATCAGACTCAGCATCAGACTCCTCTGCAGATGATACTGTTGCTGTATCTTCGGCATTGTTGTTAGTAGAGAACCTGAAAGAACATTTTGTAATTAGACTAAATAATAATAGTATAATTATTCTTTACAACCACATCCTTTCCTGTGTAAGTCTTGACAATAAATACATAGGTAGAAACTCAATCCTAATCTCATTAATAGGTTCATAGACCATATTTGATGAATTAGGCAGTTAATCATTAACCTGCATGATTTCTAGCAAGTGTATTTTATTTTTATAATGATGTCACCAAATACAAAATAAATGCGTAGCAAAGACCTTTCGAAAAGAACCACTATGAACTTTAATTGTAATTCTTTATTGTATTTTAATGTTCAATGTTTTGGAATTAAATGTTGTACAAATGAGTTAGAGTGGATAATTAATTTGTTACTTACGTATCCCCCGACGGTGTGAAGTTTTTAGCACTAGGTGTAGGTCCCGGAATAGTAACCCCCAGAGAAGAGAGATATTCTTTGAAAAAACTTAATTTTGGGTGATGAATAATCTGCGGTTCTCCTTTGCAAAACTCGACAAATGCTTTCAACTGGGTCAGTTGCTCCTCGTTGAATGGACAATTCATTTTGACTATCACTGATAAAGCTGTCGGCAAAATGAATAATTAACACAAATATACTTTCACAAATATGTCTTCAGCGAGGTTCAGCAAATATGGATGAAATGCAGTATGCGCTAAAAATACTGTTGAATGCAGTAAAATGGCATAAAAAATCTTACTTACTAATTAAATGCAAAAATACTGCACTACACCGTAGTAAAACAAATAAATTGACACTGAGACTTCGTCGGAATTTTCTCGCTTCTTCTATTCTACTGCTACAACCAACAGTATTGCCAACACAGAAAACTAAAAAGCAGCACATTGCATAAAACCTGGTGGAAACAGTGGGTACAATAAAAACACGGATTCATCCTATTTTCATTACATAATTTCATTATTTCTTTATGAACTTGCAGGATACGGGTATTAATTATTAACGTCAATTATTGAATTAAGTAAAAATATTGAGGATTGAATAGTAATATGTTGGACTGGATTTTATTTGTAATTAACTTTTCATACCTAATTGTAGTCTGAAGTTAGTGGCGTAATTTAATAAATTTAAACAGCTGAAAATAATCTATTCATATTTCGTTTCGCTTTATGCTAAAAAACGGTAGAAATATGAAATAAACAGAAAACGGTCGTAAGTGGTGAAACAACTAATCTACTCTTATTTTAAACAGTAGGGGCAACACTGTCAGCCAGTCAACCAACCACAGATAGATAATATACGGAAAACCACAAACAAAAAATGTTTAGATTATCTACCAATTCTTTGGAATATCTAAATTTTCTTAGATTATTTATTATCTCTATACATTTTCTAATTTTCTATCCCTATTTGATGCTAAGTTTGTGTAAATTGCAAATATGTAAAATAGAGCTATCTATTGAACAGACACACAACCCATTGATAAAGCCACCAGCAGACCAGGCGCAGCGCACCAAGCGGTGGGTAGGAATATTGTAGTTATCGGTTATCGTCATAGATGGCAGCATCCGTATCATCAAATATAGCGAAATTAAAATTCCAAAAGAGCCATGGAATATTGATCTAATAAATCCTCGTGCTAAATTTAGGGCCCTATAAAGTTAATAAAAACATTAAGTGCATTTATTTTTATTGCACTGTAAACATATCTAATCTTTTTTCCTATAATTTAATAAAAGTGGCTTTGTCGTTTGTAAATATTACTTACTAGGAAAAACAACATAAGAATTAAAATGGTAATTGCCTCCTGTGTTAGTGCGACCTCTTTTTTTACTTTTCGACACGTTCGGAGATCGGGCAGGAAAGTCTTCGTCCTTTATGCTACATAGCTTTTTAAATGAATGCTATTATTTGGGCACATTTACCGGTTGTTGGGCCCTATGGTACTGCTGTAATTAACGTAGGTAGCTAGACTTATTCCTACTCTGTATCGGACGGTGTACCTAATTAAGACTCTTCTGGAAGTAACAATCGTGTCGTTCGCATTATAGAAAAACCCACATTATTTTATGCACTCTGATTTAACCATTGTGATTAATTTATGATTCAAAAAGGTGCCTACATGGGTATTATGTACTTATCCACTTTTTTTTAAATATTGGAGTAGGTGTTAACAAACCTATCTATTTACCTAGTGTCAGGTACTAATTTACCATAATTTTAAATTCCCGACTTACAAAGACGTGGAATGTATTTACCCATTTTTTGGAAATATTTTATTAATGAACGTTATTTCCGCGTCGTCGATTACCCAATTTAGATCGATAGTGAAGTCATTATAAAAATACTTCTTAGATATCGTTTCATTCAGTTAGTTAGTTTGGTGTTACGCGACACGCATATGGGTACGACAAATTAAAAATATTTTAATTTATTTTTGAAATGTGATACATTATATTTGTTATTCAAAGATAATAAATTACTTTACTTATAAGAACTAAAATAAACCTACTTATTAACGATGATTTTTAATAAATCAAATGGACGTCGGATTTTAATTTTAGGTGAGTAAGCATTCCGTTACTTTTTTTTATTCGATTTTTTTTTATCATGGTTATTAGGTACTGTGGGAGAGCGATCGGTGTGACAATACCAAAGACTAGCTAAAAATTAGCTTTAAATAATGCCTTCGTTATAAATAAATAGTGTTACCGGAGGCCCACACTTCCACTTTATCCCCAAATCTCCAATCATCAAATCCTTTACCTTCAAGAGGCTAATAATTTATTGGTGTTGATGTTGTTAGTCTTCATAGGTGGCACGTATTGCTTACCATCAGGTGGTTAGTCTCGTCCCATCAGTGTCTTACCGAATATAAAAAGAATAATATTATAAATTATACATATTTACTATTAATATAAAATTATACTTTGTGTAATTAATCCTTTATTAATTTTTAGTATTTTTAAATCTGAAATTACTCGGAGCGCAAGTTTCTACGACAAATAATAATGAAGGCAACTTGCCAACTTCAGTAGAACCGAGGTTTTTAGATCACGGCGCCCTGGGATTCCCAAACTTTGGTTCGGGAAGATTCGGAAATCCGACAAGTAATTATCCCTCGAATTCCTTTTTCCCTTACGGAAATCAGGTAAAGTTTATTTATTAAAGTATTTAATTAATTACGCTAGTATTATCTGCCTTGATTTTAATGCCAGTTCTTGTTAAATTTTGTTTTTATTGGTTGACCTTACAAATATTTCTAATGTTCTAAATGTTTTTGAATAGTAACTACCGTAAAACATACTAAATTTATTGAAAATAACGACTTACTTACTTCAATTGACCGAGAAATATCTACTCAAAAACTATTTGCAACAAATGTTGTAAATACTTTGTCGTATGAATTAGAATACATTAATCTTGAAATTTATTTTTAGAATAATAATATCCAACAGCCGCAAACGGGTTTGGGTTATCCCAATCAAAGAAATGTTCAAAACAGGCCAGGTCAAGGTTATGGACAAGGATATCCTAATCAGCAAGTGTATCCGATCCAACAAGGCTACCCTAACCAACTAGGGTACCCAAATCAGCCAGGCTATTCGAATCAACCAGGCTATCCAAATTTACAAGGCTATCCTAACCAACAAGGCAACCCAAATGGACAAGGCTACCCATATTTTGGCGACAGTATGAACTCAAACCCAAATTATCAACGTCCGCAATATTCTAGTCAAAACTTTCAGAATAGACCAATTGATGGAAACTACCATGGAAGATTTCCGTATCAAGGAGGTAACGAATACCCCAACTATCAAAGACCAGAATACTTTAATAGACCGGGTGATGAGCCAGCAATGTATAGACCTTACCAAAATCCTGGAGGGCCATTAAATCAAGGGGGATATTACAATCAACCTGAGCCCGGCCAAGGCTATCCACCCAATTCTTTTGGGTACCAACCAGTCAACCAATACCCTTCCCCAGGCTACATGGCCGATCAAGGGAACCCTAACTATCGACCCGACGAAGTAGGTAATTTACCGGACGCGAATTTCCCTGATGCTTTGGATCAATTCCAGCCGTATAACCCACAGAATCCAAATTTTGAGCAACCTGGTCCTTTTCAAAATAATAATTATGGTACTGGCACGCAACTTCCGAATCAGATCGGTGTGAGTGGTGGTCCATCAATAAACCAGTACCCAAATCCAGTTGTGCCGTTTCCAGGAGGTCCAGATAATGTTCCTCCGTTAGTAAATGAACCTCCTCCTTCATATGATCAAGGAAGTGTTCCTAAAGATAACAATACAGCAAGCATTTTAGGAAAACCAGTCATTGTACCACCAGAACCGGTGACAACAGCACCTGATGAAACAGTCTTCGATAACAGGTATGTAAATTGATATAAACATTATTTTATAATTAGTAATGGGTTTTGGTTAGTACAATTAAGTTCTGAGTAATTAAGAATAGCTGTTGTTACCTAATGAATTAGATTCAAACTAATATCGTTTTTTATTTGTGGGTTTTAGTACAGAAGACGCAACTAAAAAAAAATGTGTCCAGGACTGTCCATCCACGTCAGAATATAATCCTGTGTGTGGTACAGATAACGTGACATACATAAATCCTGGGAAATTTCTTTGTGCCCAAAATTGTGGCGTCGGTAAGAGCGCTTACGAAAATTATAATATCTCGTAAATTATGATAATAATATTCATTATTTACCTACCTTTGTGAATGTTATTAGATATTCTAAATAAATCTCGGCAAAATCATGAATTTCTATGCGAATTATTTGTGATGTGCGTTTTTTATTTTTCAGCGGTGCAACTCCTTAAGCGAGGCAGATGTGATGGTGATGTGACTATGTGAGAAGTAATTTGGAGAATGACAACAGCAAATTGAATTAAATATTATATTTACGAAAACATTACTGAACGCTTTTGTAGTATGAAAACTGGATCGTCAAAGTTTTTAGAGCTGTATTCAGATCTCGGTCACGTAATAAATAGTTTTTCCACTTGCTCCATTTTTACTTTAGCGATGTTTCCCCGCAAACAGCGTTACTATCATTATTATATCTATATAATATTTCATATGAATTCTGGGTCAAACTTGACGAGAGACGATAACATCTTACTTGATAAAAATCATAAATTCACTCATTCGTTATTTTATTGACGGTACTTAGGTAGAAGTTTGATAATCTGTACGTAATATTATTAATTTTTTGAATAACACGGACAAATACAGCTATGTCTATGTTTTGTATACGTAAGTATATGTCGAATTTGGAACAATAGGAGTCAAGCACCTTTTTCGGACATGGTCACTTATAGTTCAGCATGGTTTGTAACCATGTAATACGTACTCGCCATTGTATAAAAATGGTGTTGCTCATCTTGAAGTGTTTATATTGTTAAATAATATTAATAATAATTTTGTAATATTTATGTTGTAAAATATCTAGGTGAAGTTCTATCGAAGAAGTGTTGAAGCTATGCTATAATGTATGTATAATTGTATAATGTTCGAAAATATTTGATAATTTCCCAAATGATCTAAAAAAACTAATACATTTTGATGAATAAAATCCTTTCTGGTAAAAAATAGATTTTACTCTGAGTACTGACCTACTTAAATATATAATTAATTTGTATAAAATTCAAAATTTATCTATATTAATTTAAATAAAATTCATGAGTATCATGATGATTATTAAAAATACCTTTTTAGTTATGTTTGTTCTTTCCTTTCACGGGACCACAGGGTCCCGGACCTTTGGAAGGCGTACGAGGAGCTGAAGCCAACTCGCAGAGGCCCGTTGAACAGTTTTAATCTAAATGTGATGGGACATCAGCCGGCAATTATCCCTGTTTGCACTATATATTAATGTTTTCCTGGTCATGGTGGCGACCATGGTAACGGTGGGGTAGGGGGTGCTAAGAATCTCCGGGCTACGGGAGGCCACCACAACAGACTGACCCTGGCGACGTACAACGGACGCACGCTACGGCTTGACTCGCATCTAGCGCAACTAGAGGTGGAACTTGGGAAGATCAGGTGGCACATACTAGGGTTATGTGAAGTCCGAAGAGAGGGGGAGGACACGATAACTCTCAAATCAGGCCACCTGATGTACTTCCGTGAGGGAGACCAAAAATCCCAAGGTGGCGTTGGGTTTCTGGTTGACAAGTCCCTATCTAACAATGTTGTGGAAATGGCGAGTGTGTCGAACAGGGTGGCGTACCTCATTATAAAGCTCACCGAGAGGTATAGCCTTAAGGTGGTCCAAGTGTACGCACCGACCTCGGCACACTCCGATGATGAGGTGGAGGAGATGTTCGATGATATATCGAGGGCCCTCCACTCCACCACTAGGACTCACTTCAACATTGTTATGGGGGACTTTAACGCCAAAGTGGGAGTACAAAATTGCAGTGAATCGGTAGTAGGATCCCATGGGTATGGAAACAGGAATCATAGGGGGCAAATGCTCGTCAATTTCCTCGAACGGGAGGGGATGTTCTTAATGAATTCATTCTTTAAGAAGCAGCCCCAAAGGAAGTGGACGTGGCAAAGCCCCGACACTATGACAAAGAACGAGATCGACTTCATCATGGCGGACAAAAGGCACATATTCAGAGACGTCTCCGTGATTAATAGGTTTAATACCGGTAGCGATCACCGACTCGTCCGAGGCTCTCTGAATATCGACTTCAGAGCCGAACGAGTCCGCTTGATGAAGGCCAGGCTCCGACCAACCCTGTTTCAAATCAAAATGGGATCTGAAGCGTTTCAGTTAAACCTGGAGAACCGATTTGCTGCCCTGGAAACCACAACCGACGTTAACCGGAACCTTGAAAACGTGGTTCGAGTTCTCAGGGAAGAAGGTACGAGATTTTGTGAAATGCAGCGTAAGGGCAGGAAGTCGAAGCTTTCGGAAGAGACTTTAGGGCTTATGAAGAGACGACGTGAAAACCCACCCGTCACTTCGTCAGAGAAGCGGGCTCTAAACCGAGAGATTAGCAAACACGTGCGACACGATCTCCGGTGCTCGAATACCCTTGCAATCGAGAGAGCGATCGAGCAAAACCGGGGGCCAAAAGTGTTCGTACAATCTCTTGGAAGAAGCCACCTGACGAAGTTGACCACAGCAAGTGGAGAAGTCGTTGTCTCGAAGCCGGCAGTTCTTTCGGAAGTAGAAAACTTCTACGGCCGGTTATACGCTTCGCATGCATCTCGACCTGACCCCGGAAATGAGGACTCTAGAGCCACTTTAATACGCCATTACACCGAAGACCTGCCAGAAGTCAGCATTGACGAAATCGAGATCGCTCTTGGACAGCTTAAAAATGGAAAAGCCCCTGGAGAGGATGGCGTTACGACAGAGCTTCTAAAAGCAGGCAGCAAACCGGTACTCAGGGAGCTGCAAAAGCTATTTAACGCTGTCCTGTTTGAAGGGAGAACTCCAGAGGCGTGGAGTCGGAGTGTGGTCGTCTTGTTCTTCAAAAAGGGTGACAAAACCCTACTGAAGAATTATCGACCCATTTCCCTTTTAAGCCACGTCTATAAGCTGTTCTCGAGAGTGATCACGAACCGCCTTGCGCGAAGACTTGACGAATTCCAACCACCGGAGCAGGCTGGGTTTCGGAGCGGATACGGCACCATAGACCACATCCACACAGTGCGGCAGATTATACAGAAGACTGAGGAGTATAATCAGCCCCTGTGCCTAGCATTTGTGGACTATGAGAAAGCCTTTGACTCGGTCGAAATCTGGGCTGCTCTGGAGTCCCTGCAGCGATGCCAAGTAGATTGGCGATACATCCAAGTGATGAGATGTCTCTACGAGGCCGCCACCATGTCCGTCCAAGTACAGGATCAGCAAACAAGGCCGATACCGTTGCATCGAGGTGTGAGACAAGGGGATGTTATCTCCCCGAAATTGTTCACAAATGCAATGGAGGATATGTTCAAGACGCTGAACTGGAAAGGACGCGGCATCAACATAAATGGCGAGTACATCTCTCACTTGCGATTTGCAGACGACATCGTCATCGTAGCAGAAACGCTGCAGGACCTACAACGGATGCTGAATGACCTGGCTGACTCTTCTATACGCATCGGCCTACGGATGAACTTGGATAAAACCAAGGTCATGTTCAATGAACATGTACTACCGGAACCGATTGCAGTACACGGCGCTGTTCTCGAAGTCGTTCAAAAATATGTATACCTCGGGCAGACATTGCAGATGGGTAGAAACAACTTCGAGAACGAGGTGAATAGAAGAATTCAGCTAGGTTGGGCAGCATATGGAAAGCTGCGTCAAGTCTTCACGTCGTCGATCCCACAGTGCCTAAAGACGAAAGTCTTCAATCAGTGCGTCCTACCTGTCATGACATACGGAGCCGAAACGTGGACACTGACGGTGCGGCTGGTTCACAAGCTAAAAGTCACTCAGCGAGCTATGGAGAGGGCTATGCTCGGCGTTTCTCTGCGAGATCGAATCAGAAACGAGGTGATCCGGCAGAGAACCAAGGTAATCGACATAGCCCACCGGATTAGCAAGCTGAAATGGCAGTGGGCTGGCCATATTAGCCGAAGAACCGATGACCGTTGGAGTAGACGAGTTCTTGAGTGGAGACCGCGTCTCGGCAAACGAAATGTAGGACGTCCTCAGGCAAGGTGGAGTGATGATTTGCGCAAGATGGCTGGCAGGAGCTGGATGCGAGTGGCCGAAGATCGATCCCAGTGGCGTGCAATAGGAGAGGCCTATGTCCAGCAGTGGACTGAAAAGGGCTGATGATGATGACTATATAAGTGCACCCAAGAACAATCCCCGGTTGATGCAGGACTATTGTGAGATGTGGTAAAAATTGATAGGGTTATGGATATGGGTTGCTATGGACTGGTGGATATGATAACTATGGAAATACTATGGCCCCTGCCCCTGACCAATATTGATACATACGGATAAACAGGCAGGGGGTGACTGGCAAACTCAATTAATGGGCCCCCGGAAACGGCCGCTAGCATGTAGCGACACGGAGGTAACATACGTTGAGCTGCTTGGGGAAGGAGAGGCATCCCACGGCTATCAGAGCAATCCCGGAAGTACGGTCAAGACCCCTACCAGCACCTTACTGAGATACATCCTTCCCCCGAGTCTCCTTCAACTCCTACTCTTGCGAATCTCCACTCAAGCCAGCCAATTAAGGCAAGAATGAGGTAGGAGGGCTTGTTCTTCATCAGTTTTCACTCCAGCTCGTCACGAGGACTAACCGGAGAGAGATATTATTAAATTTTCAATTAGACAGTTTATAATTTATTTAGAAATAATCATAAATTATAATAATAATTCTATTATGTCAATGAATGCATACTTATTTATTTATTAATAAGCGTTTCAAATATTTTAACTTCCCAATTAAATGAACATTTCGGTAGTTTCCGACAAGTCAAATTCAATACTTTTATCTAAATGTCAAAAACGATACTTTTCTATGAAATTTGTATGAAACACTAAGTTATGACGTCATAGTATGTTTGCGTCAAATAGCTTACTTGTTTCTTAATAATTAGCTAAAAAATAACAAAAAATGTATGTATCGATTGATCGATGAATAAAAGTACCTGTAGTTATTTTTTAATATTTTATTGTATTGAAACGTCGAATTAATTTATTTTTCTTTTTCTTCAGAAGGTTTGAATTTGTAAAAAACTGTAAACATCTTTTTGTTTAAATAATTGTAGTCAGCAAGGTCGTCTAACTAAAAATATACCTATATTAAGGTAGACGCAGACCTACTTAGCTTGTTACGCAATATGTATG